AAATTCACAGAGTTACATGTACATCCACAGAAGGCTCTTTGATTCAACAGTACCCCAAAACGAAGTCAAAAGATGTGTATTACAAACAACTTACTGTTTCGTATTTTTCCAACAGGTCCCTAGACCTTTGGCTTCCTATATATAACTTTTCCCTAGACCCCAACAAGTAATCCCTTTCCTTTTTGTCCATGCATTTTTTCAAACCTTACCCTTTAAGCACCAATAGTCCCATGGCTTAAATCCTTCAAATTCCTAGCATCCATCGTCATGGCTTGAATCTACTGTAAATAGAGGGTTTCATTCACTCTTTTATGTGGGCTGAAAGTTTTGCGTTCTTTTGTAAGAAAAAGAAAGAAAAACAGCCAAAACACAATGGGCTTGCCCTTCCAAAGTTGACAAATTGTTGTGATTCCTTAAGTTGAGAAACCTTTTTCCCCTGAATGAAAGTGGCACAGGTCCGACTCGAGCCTAATCCAAGTCTGTAGAGAGCCCTGGCTTGTGAAAATAAAAAAGGCAACTGGAGAAAGAAATTCTGAACCCCTTCCGTTTTCAGTAAAGCTCCTTAGAAGCTTTCGGCGACTCTCCCCTTTACAAGTTGTCCTGGTGGCAAGGAGCTCACCCCAAAACCATTAATATCGATAATTTTCTTTCAACAAAAGTAGACACCAGAGAATTGGGGCCAGCATTATGCGTGAGCGCCCCTCTGATCTCAAAACCATACAAGAATCCCTTCTCAGTGGGAAAAAAGAAATTATGAATGCCTGGATACTGAGAGAGTTTCGTTTTGCAGTCACCTTGCGTGATCTTTGGAACAACTAGAAGATATTTGAAGTGTCGGCAAGGGTGGAAAAAAATAACAGATGACATCAGTCTGGACTTAGCACCATATGGCTACAATCTTATTTGAAGCTGTATATTTTGCACGAAGCAGCTATTAAGCCCGGCCATTGGGTGCAAATGGTCTTGCCATCTTGCTGAGAAATGACAGTCTATGATGACTAAAGTTGTGTTGATTGAAATATATGTAAGCCTCTCTCGGGCTAAATTGTTGAAGATTGCAACGTGGCATTCCCACATGTACAATGTATAATGCTGCACATTTTAATGAAAATACATTGCTGACTTTTAGCTTCTCTCCATCCTCGGATCAGTTTTCATGCATTCTTTATTCCATGATTCCTGCTTTCTTTAGAAAGCTTTTACATGGTACATGTCATTCATAATGTATCTCCCGGCATTTTATTTCTTCAATCTTGATGATTAAAAGTAAGACATCATGTAAATGCTAGCATTGGTATGAATTAGCCAGGGTTCGAAATTAGCGGTAGCCCGCTAGCCAAATGCTAGTCAAAACAGCGGCAGGCTGGTCAAACTATTCCTTACATGTAAGTAGCCCGGCTGGCGAGTCAAAATATTATTGGGATACGGCAAAGATGAACAGACAGGAAGAAATAAATCATTAAATTCAGAAAGCAAACCTCATCAATTTGTGTCTAGTGTTTTCAACTGTTTTAAAAGGTTAGATTATTAGATCTGTTTATTAAAAACACTGACAAAATTCCATCAGAATTGAGCCTGAATATGCACCATTTTGTATTTGAGCTAAAAAATAAATAAATATGGGCTAGTGAAAATGCCCGCGGGCTAGTTAAGAGGCTGTTTCAGTAGCCCGGCTGGCTAGTGAACAAAAAACTTGAGGTCAAACCCTGAATTAGCTTCTTTTTTTTAAGATTCCTGTCGAACAATCACATTTGATAGAAGCACTCTAATATGCAGTGCTAAGGGATTTAAGTGTACAAAAAAAAACCCTATACGATGTAGGCACAAAAGTAAAAAAAAAATTCTCACTTTGAAACGACACAAAGCTCATCTTCGCACGAAGAAACCCGGAAAGGCAAGAAATACAACATAATCCCAATAGCCCTCGCTTCGTCGTTTCTGGCTGGAATTTCAGACCCGAGTCTCCGAAATCAATAGGCGTTAAGGAACTCACATGAGACACATATACACACACAAATTCCTCGCCGCTATACTCTAGACTAGCCAAAGCACGGCAGGTTTTTTTTCTTTCCATCAATTTTTTTTCGCTTCTTTGCCCGCCCATTGCTGCACATATTGCATTTCACGTTATTAGAGTGAATGGCCCCCGAAACTATATACCGGAGGAAGGATATATTGATGAGCATAATGCAATAAGTCACAGCCTTTTGTCAGCAAAGGCTCCCTCTATTTGATTAAAGCGCCCCGGCAAACTGGAACAAGTTATGTATGTGGACGTCTCAATTCGGGCTCCGGTCTTCCCTATCCGACTGACCTATGCCTGCAGGACGGATAACCTTACCCAAAGAAAAGAAAAAACACTTTGTCTCTATTCATACTCGCCTTTCTAAAAATAGCAGTTAAATGTGTTGTTTTTTTCCCCCTACATTTTGTTAATCAGAAGGACAAAATGCATTACACATGATGACTGAAATGCGTTGGAAATATCAAGGGGATGGATTTCTGTTTGTTTTGGAATCATGCCAGTTTTGCTATCGGCAGTTTATTTTTACTCAAAATACAAACATTTGATAAGCACACGTGTACAGGTACATCTTTCCTATCTACGTGTTTTTGCCTTCATATTACACAAAGTGTGGTGCTTTAAACTATGCAGTGTTTACACACAGGATGCATGCACAGAATGAAACGATAATTAGTTACCCAATATTGTCGTCATGATGGAAACTTAAGTGCGACTTTCATTACGTTGCTGCCTTTGAAACCACCGCGAGTTGAAGGAACACTGACTCCCCCCCCCCCTTTTTTTTTTTGGTTCTGGAGAGCAGCCAGTGTTTTACTTTGGGGGCCCATCAATCTCGGTTGCCACCTGATACGCTCCAGAAGGAATCCTAGCAATTAAGATTCTCCTCGTTGTGATGTTTCACCTGAACGTGTTGGCAGGCTGCAGTCGCTGGTTTTCTCACATGTGCGCGGCTCGGGTGACCGAGAGCGTAAATCATTGGGGGAATGAAATTGGAATTTTTTGTTCTTTTTATATTATACAGGGGAGAGAAAATGTTGGGTATTTGAGGTGTCGGGTTCGGCGATGGGTGGCAAAGGTTCTGGTATGATTTGTCATTTGTGCGGTTTTTTTTTGGGGGGGGGGGTTGGCAAGACGCGAGAAAATAGGGCTCCGTGAAGTATTACTGGAAATCATGCGTGAATACCGCAAGTGCGAGTGTTTGAACCACAAAAGCAACACTGGTAATAATGTGTTGCATACTGTTACATTTAGCAGCCAACTCAAGACCCTGTGCTTGGTTGCATCTTGTTGCATTTAGCAGGGTATAATGCCAGGGCCCATGCAACACTATCCACTGTTGCAGTTGGTTGCATTCAGCAGGGTAACTGCTTAGTGCCAAGGCTTGTGTATACTGGCTTCACTGCGCAATGCAACAGAATCCACTGTTGCAGTTTGTTGCATTTAGCAGGGTTCTCATTTCAACCAGGTTGCATTTTGTTGCATTTGGCATGGTTTCCATGTCAGCCAGGTTACATTTTGTTGCATTTAGCAGGGTTCTCATGTCAGCCAGGTTACATTTGGTAGCGTTTGGCAGGGTTCTCATATCAGCCAGGTTGCATTTTGTTGCATTTGGCAGGGTTCTCATGTCAGCCAGGTTGCATTTTGTTGCATTTGGCAGGGTTCTCATGTCAGCCAGGTTGCATTTTGTTGCATTTGGCAGGATGCCCAGAGAAAACCTCTTGGGGGGTTAGGATTCAACGTGTTTTTAGAAACAGGATTGTTGGTAGAATGTGTCACCTGTTGTTGGCTGGATTATTAATAGAAGATGAGATCTCAATACTTGGAAGTGCAAAACCTGCTGTGGTGGTGGATTTGGTGCACGCGTTGTCGTGGTGTTGGGAAGGTATGTGAGTGTTACTCGGTGTGACCCTATGGCAATGCAGTCTTGCGCTACAAAAAATGATTAATGATATGACGTAAATGCTTCAGTTTATGCACAGTCCTCTGAACCCATGTACGCACACCGCTCCATGAACTTTGGTGCTTAAAAAAAACCCAAGGTAGCACGATATACATGTATGTGCGGCCACATTCTGTTTTCTCATTGGCTGTTCAAAACAGTGTCACTGGTGATTGGTTAATTTTTGTTTAAGAGTCAATGAGGAATGAAATAAAGTCGTTGTAGGGTTCTTTGCAGTTTTTCCTAACAACACATTACAGTCTAAGGGAACGATACATGTAATTACCCAAACTTGGCCTCATATTTGCTAGGCAGCGCATACCGCCCTCTACATCTTGCGCGCATCGCGATAAGTCAGCAGCAAGGCACAATGTTTGTTTTCTCAGACGAAGTTTACAAAAGAACACAGTTTTTTTTTCGTGTCGCACCAGTAATGACTTGATGACATTTTGCGACTGTTTTTCCCCGGCACCGTAAATTGCTAGAGTATATCTTTGGGGTTCGGGGTAGTAGCGAAACGTGATAAAAATACAACATCTATGGAATGGCTCTGCAGTTTCTCTTTGGATTGTGTACATTATGACAGCAGTGTTTTGTCAGAGCGGTTTGATTTGCGGGCACGATCATGTCTCTCCCCTCAGTCAACCCGTAGTGTCAAGACCTCAGCTTCAACACGTCAACTCCGAAGGATTGGCTCTGTCCAAGGAATAAGCATGTTCAAAATGGTGCTGTAAATCAGGGCCGTGTGTTCAGCTGCCATGGAATTTGATCCCTTGGCTTTTGGACAATGTATACATATAAATGTGTCAGCGAGGAGCCTGTTGTTTTTTGGTTCAAGCACAACACAAAAAAGACACTTTCCAAATCATATCTCTCTAGATTTTTTCCAAAGGTGTGTGGCAATTTAATTAATTAACCCTAATAATCCCCATCCAGTCAAACTCCAACACCAGGGTTTGGTGTATGTAATAGATTGGTCTGTTGCAACTTTCTTCAATTTTTTTTTCTCCCATTTTTGGCACGATTTCCCCTCAGAACAAGTACCATACCAGGAGCCACGGTAAGCCCCTCCTGGACTCGCACCAGTTCTGGGGCCTTCAGACCATCGCCTCCTCGCCGCGCGACACCAGTCACACTTCCAGCATCATGATCACACCTACCTCAAGCCCGACAAAAGAGCTGGACCCACCGGCTCTGACAAAATTCTTCTCATCGACGGCGGCCCCGGGCCCGCAGTACAGCCTGCGCTACAGCACGCGCTGCCATGACGGAGAGAAGGACCACGAGAACGGCGCCCTCAGCAGCGATGATGAAAATGCTGACGATTTAGAAGACGGAGTGGACTCGGGTATTTTTCCCCTGGACCCCAGCAATGAATTAGACGTTGACCAAATTGAACAAAACTGACAAAAAGGGGCGTGGCAAAGTCTTTTTTTAATTTCCTAAAACAGTAGGTTTTTTTCTTTCAAGTTCTTAAGTCGCAAATTTGACAAGAAAAACATTTTTAAAAGTAAAGGTACAGTTTATGTTGTGTCCAACAAAACACAGCTTGGCAACATGCACCTTTTCTTCCGAAGAATTTTTAATTCAAATTCCAACAACTTATGGGGGAAAAAAGAATATGTCCCAAAAAATTAATAAGAAGATTATCGAGAAAAAAAATTGAGTTTTGGTTGTTTACGTTTTATCTTGCTTGCTGTGTGTTCACACTTAAAAAAAAAGTAGTTAAAAAAACAATCAGACATCGTTTCTTTCTTTAGAATGAAATTTTTAATCCCTGAATGAGTTTTGCGTAAACGTTTTAATGTTGTAACTTAATACATGACCAAATAGAGTGTGATTTTTTTTATATGTGCTATATATTTATTTTGTATCGTTTGCCTTTTTTTTTTTTTTATAATACTGAACATGGACTTTGAACATTCACATGAGATTCCAGCAACAGAGGGCGCTATTTCATGTCAATTCTGACGTGCTTACATGTGCATGTACACAGAGTGCAATGATGCAAATCTGTACCAATTTGTTTCCAAAATTGTACAGATTTTTGGCTTGTTGCCAACCCAACCCTAAAAAAAAAACCCCAAAAAATTGTCTCTTTGGAAACTATAAAATAAATCAGACAAAAAAAATTGGTCTCCTGACCAAATTCCTTGCCGCTAAAATATTGTCCCAACCAGAATAAAAATAGCAGCGCCAATGATTTGACGATTTTAGGTTTCACTTTAGATGCATTCATTTTGTTTATTTGGATTGGGTCTAAAATCCTTTTCATTTGCGCGGCTACGTGCCAGTTTTATGAACTGTCTGTGAATGGAATGGAATTTTACTTTTTCAGGTGCTAAATTTCTGCCATTTTTCACTGTGAATAGACTCTGAAACAAACTGAAACCTTCAGTTTTGTCAGGTGATTTCTGAGAATTTTTTTTTCTTTCTTCCCCCCCCCCCCCCCCCCCCCCCGGTTTCTCATCGGAAATGACAAATTATACCTTTTCTTTTTCTTTTGTGAACACTTCCCGTTTTACATCATTCTTACACATTTTTTCCAAAGAATTGAATTCATGTTTTTCCCCCAGGCTTGCAAGCTTGAAATGAGTCCGTCGACTTGCAAATCATGTGAATGTTCATAGTCCATTGAAATGTGTGTGTACATTACGGGATCATGTAGATACTTTCGGTATTGTGGAATACACCGCAAAAATGTGAGCCTCTTGAGCAGCATACCAGTTAAAGAAGACATGTGTTTACATTACCCCCGTTTAGCAAGAAAAATATGTAGTTGTGCATTCACGCTACGTAGGCATAATCTAAATTGTCCATGTAATCTGCCGTTAATAGCCAAACATTTAGTGCGGCCCTTTGAGCATTGCGCATGAACCGTTCAATGGGAAACCTGTTGTTAGGACATGCACCGTTTTAGCTGTTCAAATTTGCATTAATTTAATTAACCCTCCTTTTGTTTGATCAGTCACAGACAGTCAAACGTTCAATCCTGTTCCCCTGCCATGCCTTTTACACAGGCTAGTCGCCAACAGTCAGATTATAGTTCTTGCAAAGGCACTGTGACAGTCAAATTCAGTCAACAGACTGAAGCAGGTGACTGGTAGGCACAGCTGGCTTATCAATCTCCTACAGTCAAAGTATAGCTATATCCTGTTTCATAACAATCACAGCCAGTCGATCCTGCTTTATGATGGCAGGGTGCACTCAACTCTTAAAAACAGTCACTTGATTAATTTTGACTGCTGGGCTGGCCTTTTTGAAATTGCCAGCCAGAGAAAGAGGGTTTTTAAGGAACATGCATACATTTACATGTTCAATATTTTTTTTTTTTACTAAGTCCCTATATTTGAAGTGTTATATTCACGCTCAGGTACAGATATCATGCGCCCTACAAGTTTCATGCAGTGCTAGCCCATGGGCCTATCTGCTTTGTGCGTTACCACCTGAGGGCGCTGTTTGACACGAGCCAAGCGTGGGCACTATTTTACTGGTAATGCGAATAAGAAATGGCAGTATGCGTAAGGTCAGTTTTATACCTGAACGGACTCCTAAGATCTTGGGAAAAATCACAAGGAGAGGCCAACGCTGGTAATGTCAGTATATCCACGCGGCACACACTACAGAATTGTTGGCTGCTTTCCAAAGAACCCCGCCCACTGAGGGGCATAAAAGCCAATTGCACTGTGAAAAAAACCCTGTAATGCACACTGTAGGATTATCAGTTCGTACAGTCGGGCCATAAACAGTAATCCTGGCTCAGTGCCAATGTCTGTACATCTATAGATAATTCATTGACCTGTGATATAGGCGCTGAGCAAATTAAAGGGCATTTAGTCACAAATGTGGACTGAGGGACATATGATATTATTGCCGAGTCCTGTAAACAGTTGCACTGTCACAAACCGGTTTTGTGATTTCTTTTCATTGCCCGCAAAGTTAACATTTCCAATGATTGCTCAAGCGTCGCAAAAATGACATCAATAATTTTTGTGAGCACAAGCATGAAGCAATTCGAGCTTGAAATGCAATGCGACAGACTTTTTTTCAGAGGCATGTATTTCTGTATTCATAGATTTTATACAGGACCATGTAGTTGGAACCCAAACTGATGACCACTCGCATTGTACATGTATGCATAGAACCCTCATCAATCTCACTCCCGAACTACGCATTGAAAATTCTTCCAACTTCAAGTCAATTTATCATTCCTTCGTTTGTCTACAACCCCAAGTCTGTACATGATCCCATTGGCTTTCCAATGTCTTTTTTTTTTTTTTTTTGTGTATTGGCATTGATTTGGTGCATTATAGTAGTCTATATATAGGACGAGCGAGCTATGAGAATCAGTTCGTAGATAGCGTACATAAGCAGGGCAGTTTGCAATAATTTTACGTTGGCTTTGTGTGTGTTTTGTGTGTGTTTTCCTGTTTTTCTGTTGCTGAATCTGCAAGAAAGAAAAAAAAGTAAGTTGAGAAACATTTTCTGGACAATAGAGGGCGCAATTTCATGCAGGTGCTAAGCCGAAAGTAATGCTGGGAGAATTTGCCTGCCGAGCAGAGAACCGGTCGCTCGCAGTGTACATCTGTTGACATTTGGCTGGTTACCTGTCTTCGGTAAGCAAATACATGTATTTGATACGGTGCTTAGCAGGCCCTGCGGGTGACTCTTTACGTGACCTTAAGTTTCTTTCAAGGAACTTACAGAGAGGGGAGTGACCAAAATAAAACACTTTTTCTAGTGCTTTGTTTGCAAGGCACTTAAGTGGGTTTGCCTGAACGATCAACCAGGCGACTATCTTTATCTTCTGAGATGAAGTATCACTCAATACAAATGGACCTTGAATAGGGGGAAAGTTTAAATATCTTACATTTCCACTTCTGAGATTTGAAGTTTTGAGGGCAAAACTGTTGAATGCTTTGAATCGGAATTTGGACAAATTGATTTATGAAAGTCTATATAGAAAAGCAGCATGATTGGCAGGTACATTGGGAACCAGACATGGACAGTACCAGTAATGCATTTCTGGTAATGCCATGGTGTGGTTAGGGTCGGCGCCAGTCTGGTTGGTCATGTTAGGCCTGAGTCGAAAGAAGGAAAAAATGTTGCAACCTGAAGCCACTTTTTCTTCATATATCATCTCATTGAAGGTCAGTCATTGCAAAGATGATGATAAGACAAGAAACATTTCCAATTTTGTTAGGAAATACATTGAAAAATTCTTGACTCTCCATAGACTTTGTACACAAGGTTGCAACATTTTTCCCTGAATTTTTTTAATGTCACCCCAACCATACAATGTTTCTCAACTTAAAAATAATTGTTTTTCTTGTCAGAATGTGTAATGTTCCTTAAAGGTACACTTAGGAGTGTTGTGTGCGTGTTCCGTGTGTTTTAATTTGGCAAAGTTTTAGTGGATTGTGTTCGGCTCTACAACATCTATTCAATCTTCCTTCGGTTTCCCCGATAATTATAACTTATTTCCAATTTGTGCAAAATTTGATTTTGTGGCTTATGAAATTAGTAAAAAGGAGGTTTTTAAAGATACTGTTAAACAATTAAGCTGGGAAAATGAAGAAAATAGCAATGCTTTCATATTTTAAATCTTTTTCAAAGGTTGTCTGATATACCTCTACAGGAAGAAGTAAAACTGAATGAATTTTTAGTAGGAATGGGATTTCTTCCTATGACCGACTTTTACTCGCCTTTTTGTTGTTCATTTCCTTTCCTCTGCTGATTACAGATTTTGCCAAATAGTTATATTTCCCAATCGCTTAACAGTAAAAAAAACAACATGTATTTATGAAATTAATATTTTTGTTTTGTTTTGCAGTGAAATGGCTAACGAATGTTGAAAAAAAAAGACAAACATGTACATGTAGGTTAAACAACTTGCATTCCTCTAAAATTAACAGTTTGCTGTTCAAGAGATATTTTTTAACTTTTTAAGATTGAAACTTTAATTCTGTATAAAATAGGCACAGGTTTGAAACGGAAAAATGGTCATGAATGGATTTGATCACATGACGTGATTTTGGTCATATGACGTGATTTTTAATCACATGACCAAGTCTTTGAGCATGTGACCTCTATGTAAATACGTCCGAACGGGAGCCGGTGTTGGCTTGGGGGACTGTTTTGGCCAAGATTTGCTTGAAGCAGATGATCACCTGACCAACCTTGTCAAGTGCGGTCATGTGACCTTGCCATGTGACCCTGTAATTGTCATTCAGGTCATATGACCCGACTTTGTTCAAGTTGAGGTCATTTGGTTTGTTTTTTAATTTTCAAATTGATGTGATTTATGTCGAGGGTCGGCAGAAAAGAGGAGTTCAGATAAAATTTTGTCTTACAAATATTTTTTAATTTGGAATAGAATAGAAGTTGCCACTTCTTAAATGTAAGGAAGTTGAAACTTCCGACGGAAGTTCTTATAAATTGCTGTATTCATGTGAAGTGAGTTTATGTATTTTTTTTTCCTTCATAAACTCCTGAATAGTTTTTGAAGCTATTATCAGCAGATTCTCTTGATTTGAGAGAACTTTTTGCAACTGCAGCAGCAAGATTTAGGTTTTTTTTTTTTTTTTTTTACACTTAACAATTTGTACACTTTATAGGAAGGGATTTCTTTGACTTTTGTTGTTTTGTTCTTTTTTGAGAAAGATAAAGTTGGTGTGGATATATTTGTTCAGTTGTGTATATATATTTTTAGGAAGACGTTTTTAACTGGTGCGGTTCATTTGGTTTTGGGCTGGACTGGCTGCGATCAGACATTGTCCGCTGTGCGATGATGATGATGATGATGATGATGAAGAATTGATAAGTGCTTGTTATCTGAAAATATCGACACATTTCATACTGATACCAACAATTCAGGGTTTGTCTTGCCTGCTTTATAATAGCTTTTTATCGATACTTTGATTGATATTTGGAGGACGGTAGATCGCGTGATAGGCGTTGTTCATTCCAGCAGGTTATTTGGGGGTATTTTTTTGAGTCGGTCTTTCAAGCAAAAAAAAAACAATACAAGACAAAAAAAAGTATAAAAATGAAACTGGTAGATTATTTTTTACTCTTAATAACAGTTACTGATGTTTTAGCTTGATGAAGCAGTATTATTGTAATGGGAATTTGTAGGGGATGAATAAGTAAGCGAGGATGAAAGGAAGGTAGCCTCTTTTTCTTTTTTTTGGAAGACCTGTTAATTAATGATGAATAATTCAATGTTGAAAAATCTTAGTCACACACACAAATTGTTAAGAAGTGCACATAATTCTGTGGTGTTAGGTGCACTGGTGTGTTTATAAAAGTGCACTTTTCTTCAAGTTTTAGGCTTAAACCCCTAGAAAAGTACAGCCTCCCCCTGTCATTTCTAATTAGATTTTTGTTCGTTTAAAGTTTTAACGAAGAAAAAAAAAAGAAGAAAAAAAAAAAGAAAACAGAAAATAGCCAAAAGTGGCGGTGACATGTTTGATTCTCATATAAAGAATGCCAACTGCTGTTGGATCAAGTTTAATAGATATTTTTTAACGGATTTCCTTGGAGTTTAAAAGGCACAGTTTTCCCCCCTGTATAACGATTGTTCAGAACTCTCTTGGAAGAGGTTAATGTTGAAATAATGACTTCCAATTTTGCCGAAAACATCAGTGATTTCACTTTTTTTCACTGTGAGCTGGGCTTTCCGAAATGTTTGAGGAACGAAGATTCTGGGTCCGTTCTCTGTTTCAGTGCTGCTGGTTGATTTTTGTCAGCGAAAGGGCGCGATCATCAACTTGCCCCAGGCTGTAGTCTCGATTCAAGCTGGGAATTGTTAAGATTCACAGTTGTCAACCCCTGCAACCAATGGCTTTGTATGATGGCTTGGCATCAAATCCGACATTGCCATCTTGAGTCGAGACAACCCTGACTGTTTCTCTGGCACAGCTATAGGAAAAGAGATCTCGAGAGACCCGAACGCCAAGAGACATGTTGATTTTTCACTCAAAACAATGTGTCAATTAGAACTGGAAAAAAACAAACAAACTATGTTATCCAAAACCTCGTCAGTGTACTGGTACGCCATCTATGGCTTCATCTCTTTATGCTTTCAATTTTTCTCGTCATGCTTGCATACCAATGACTTGATAAGCTCACTATTTGTCGAAATGGCTTCAGAATGGTGCTGACTGCACAAGCATTTTTTAAACGGTGAGAAACAAGAAGAAAATTGTATTCAAATCTGGAGTTGACCGGTCCTTCTTGCCTTAACACGATAAGGCAGCGCTGTGCCTTTAAAACCCCAGATGGGCTGATCGCCTGTAAGACTTGTATATACATTTTTGTGGCTTTGATATTAAAAACAAAAAAAAAGAAGAAATCTGAGATATAGTATTCCCAGACACTTTTAGTCTGGCTCCTCTAGTTGCCTTACTTGATACCTTTTCTGCACATCTAGTACCCCGACTCACTCCTTGTTATAGAGACAGATACAGAGCACTTTGATAACAACAAATTAACTCTGTGTTAAATTGTAATCTTACGATGAAACTGATGAACTTTTTTGAACAATGCATGACAATTATTAGTGTTTTACCATACGGGTGTTGATATTAAGCTGAAATCTTACAAATTTTTTGTAAAAAATAACAAAGTTACTGTCTTTGAATACATTTGTATAGCTGTCCTGTGGAAAATAGGAAAGGAATTCTAGAATTCAGACTCGAATCTTACAAAAAGAACTTGTGTACAATTCTAGATTTGAATAGGAACTTATTGCATGAATTGTATAAAAAAAAAATTACTTCGCATTTAGTTTAAAACAAAAACTGATGAATTACTGTATGCATGGTTAAATGTTTCATAATTGTTCACCCCTTTTTAAGATATTTCTGCAGCTTATTCAAGTGAAATCCCTTCTAGTTAAAACAAACAATAGTTTCCTCCAAAAAATGTATTTTTAAAAGGTATACGAATTAAGAGTTTTGCATTCACTAATGAAATGAACCCATGAATTCCTAAACAAATAATTAGGTAATTACGTCGTGAGATCTAGTGTTATTATTATTGGGAGAATTTGTTTCACACAAATATAAATTGTGTCGATTCCCATATTAGGCGTACATTACTATTGTTAAAAAAAAAACAGTAAAGAAAGTTTGTTGTCCAAATGTACGTTAAAAAAATTACCCAAGTCAAAAAATCTAATGGTAGCTTTCTGTACTGAGTTTTAAAACCGTATAAAAATGTTGCAGTGATAGTGGTTCTTTTTCTTTAGAAAGTCACAAAAAGTGCGTCCACACAAATGTGCTGCTTTTAAATATAATTTGTCCGTTGTACAAAACCCTTATTTCAACGAGTTTCACAGCAACATGTGCTACCTATGTGATTGGTTCACTAATTGTTCTCTGCTACTGACAAAAAAAAAACTATTTAAAATTTTGTCTGTAAGTGTCCTAAAAAAAACATATTTCTAAATTTTTGTCATCCCAGACGACACATGTTTGGTCTTTGTTTCGTTTGGTATCGGCAGTTATTTTTATTTAGTCCCGTTCAAAGCAAAATATTTGTTTTAATTCTGCAAATTTTACCAATTGCAATAAATTTTATTTTTGCCTTTTTTTGTTTAGCCTTTGGGCTTGATTGCTTATGAAGGAAATGGTCATGTTTCGTTTTGGACAACAATAAACTTACAAATGGTTACATTTTCGGTTGCGATATGTGATCGAGAGCAGTACTACTGAATTCTGACATAAAGCAACTGCTGTTATGTTTTGAAAAAGTTCATGCTATTTTTTTTTTCCCAGATTGTAAGTTTGATTTTTGAATTTGTGATTTCAGCTGCCAGTTTGGAACAGTCCTGGCACGATAACACTTCTATCACGATGGCCCCCTTCAATGGTGTAAGCATTGTGCTAGGTATTGTTCAGGTCGTCCATAATGGGGCAGTAGCTTTGCACAATAGCAGGCATAATACGTCCACCATTAATGGGGGCCGCGTGTGTGTACAGTGGTCACATGTCCAGATTTGTCTACAGTAATTCACATTGATTTTAGTGCTTTTTTAATTTGTTCATTTAATTCGTTGCTTTTCTTCCTAAGAATTATTTCTGAAAGTTGTGGACCAATGTTTATGTCAGGTTGTTGAAAGCTTTTTATATGCATATGAGATCATTTCGTTTGAATTAAAAAAAAAACAATTTATCTGTTTTTCATTTTGTAAATCCACAGAGAATTAGCCAATTGTTTTGTTTATGTTTGCACAACAGGACCGTATTTTTAAAAAATTAATTTTGTTTTGCCGTGTTCTGATATTTTTATTTTATTTTGTATTAAACTACCTTTTTTGAAGTGAAATAAATCTGCAAGCTCAAAACCATTGTATTTTTTAGAAAGAGAAAATTTTTAAAAAGACATCGTTTTCAAAAGTAGTCATTTTGTTTGAGATCTTATATGCACCTTTAATACAGATATATTGGTAGAGTGTGATTTTCCTTCTTTTTTGTTTTTTTAAAACTAACTTCCCTAAACTAAAAAGCAAAGCTTAAAATGATCAACGATTATGCCATCCATAGGGGATGCTTGGGATTATCTTGGTTTTCGGTTAAAAAAAAAGTGCTTAATTCAAAACTGGGTCGAAAGAGTTATGGACTTTGGAAAATAAAAGGCATTTTATGCAGCAATTTTTACAATGGAATGTGATAAAATTGGGCTGAACGCTTGCAAGAGAAAATAAAATGGCATCCGCCGACAAGAATTAGAAGCTTTTTCTGCGGTGGTGTGCGCATGCTGCACGCGTTCCTAAAGACAAGACGTGCGCGCATTGTGGTATTCCTATTGGTCGAAGGAGCCCGGAGAGCGTGCGTACTCGCGCATGCCTTGCGCCACCGCAGAAAATGACTGCCACTGGATTTGTCTATACTGATAAAAGATACCCAGTGACAAAATAATCTGTATTTATTTTTTGTTTGGTTTTTGCCGTGTCAAGACTTTTGAGCTTGTGTAACCTTTGAAAGTTTTTTCTTTCTTTCAAATTCCCGCTAATTCTCTGAATTATTTCAAATGTAAGTTTACTTGGGAAACTTATCCCTGGGAAATTGTACAAATAAGCGTAAGCCCATTGGAAACAATATGGATATGTGCAGCTATCTTGTTTTGTTTTAAATTGTAAACTCCACACAAGATGATTCAAATTCATAAAGCACAAGGCACTCGCACCTGTAACTGGAATATTGTTTTTCGAGGCATCGTTAAACTTCTGTTAACGAATTAAGCCCCTTTATAATACACTGTAGAGTTTATGCTTCTTTAATTGATTGAATGGCAGTGGGATTTGCTAGTCGCTTGCTCGAGCTCATGTTTTTATTGATTGTGGAGAACGGGTACAGATAGAGTCCCATGTTTTATCCCTAAACTTGTATGGTTTAAATCTTCCCTTTAAATATGTATTGGAGCGTTGTTTGTCCATCAAACAAAAACAAAAGACGACAGTTGTTCTTGGAATGGGTAATAAAGATGCTTAGACATGTTTTTTTGATAAAAGAGTTGATCTTGTCATTTGTGCTTTATTTTGGATGGTATTTATTTTTGTTTTTGGGTGGGGGTTGTAAAATTTCTTAATTTCTATAGAGCAATATACACAAGTTTTAAGAGATATATGGGTAACAATGATAATGCTGGTCGATATATCCCCTAAAAAAAAGGCGAATTTGATAAATTTACATTCTTGCCCTCCCCAACCACACCTTTGCCCCACCCCCAAAATAGTATCTTGATGCAAATTATTATGACTCAATGACAGTTAATCAGCCAATCACTGCGCGAGCTAAGGTGGTCACGTGATTGTTTCTAAAGATGGCGGCAGTTGTTTGGAGTTTCTAGGCAGTTTTTCTGTAGGAAAAATTGACGTAATGCCGCCTAAAAGGCCTTCGTCAGCTCGCAAAAATGTACCACAGGCGACATTTTCAGCTTTTGCAAGGTATGTACACCGCAGGAAGGACTGAAATCGTGTCATTTATGCATGGTTTGTGGAGCAAAAATTTCCCTCGATTATCAACGAGTGTGCACATTATCTATGTTATAAAGGTCTATTTCCGACACCTTAGTTTTGTTTTGACAAGAAGATTTGACGTGACTTCATATGTAATTTGTAAGATTGTAACATTCTGTCAGTGGTTTGACAGGATGTGTATCGAAGCAGGCCTTCAATCCAGCCTTCTAATCCTACATTTAATTGCAGAATATTTCTTTTTCTGATTTGAGGCTCTGGAGAAATTTACTTAAGGCAGTGGATATTTTGCCGGAGACGGCAAACCTTTAGTAAACGTTAGTTTGCCGGATATGCACTGAACATGCGCACTTACTGTTTTTTTGTACTTAAACATTTTCCGGTGACAAATTTTAGTCTGGCTCCATGCCAATATTATCGTTGTAACCTCGTATTCACAAGATGGGATTCAGACCATTTTATAATTTCGGACTTTATTTCCCTTTTAAAAAAATCCTCCAGAGCCACAAATCTGAAAAAGAAAATGTAATACTCTGCAATAAAATGTTTGAGACATATTAAAATAATAAAAGAAAAATATTTTTATTTATTTGGGGATGGGAAAAAAACCTTATAATGTGGCGGCGATCGGATTCGAACTCGAGCCATCCTGCTCACTAGAGCTTTTGCTTAACCACTACACCAAACGTGCTACACAACTTTTGGTGGGAATTTAATACATCTTATAATTCAGCCCTATCTTAAAGAGTACAGCGCCCTCTGTTGATATGGATTGCCGCCGGCAAACCTTTAGTAAACGTTAGTTTGCCGTCATTACCTCTGGCAAAATATCCACTTTCTTGAAAATACTTTGAATGGACTCGACTCTCCATAGACTTTGCACACAACCAAAGAAGTGGCGTCTGGCATGTCTGGATATGACATTCCTTCCAAAAATGAAGAGTTTTCTTATTTTATTGTTAAAAATCTAGTCCTACATTTAATTGAAGAATATTTCTTTTTCTGATTTGAGGCTCTGGTGAATTTTTTTTAAGGGAAATTGAGATTAAAAAATCTGTCTGATTCCCGTCTCCTAAATACGCAGTCACAATGACATTGTAAGCACGGAACCAGACAAAGATTTGTCACAGTTCAAAATTTCTTAAGTCCACAAAACACTCACTGCACATGTTCAGTGCAGTGCTGGTCCAACGACAAAAACAATCGGGGACTGATCGCCGTCATATTAGGGTAGCCAACAGTTTGTTTTTTCATTTAAATTTGCTTAATCTGTTAATAATACTCCAGGTATTGGAAAGAATGTAGTATCTAGACGCCACTTCAGCGGTTGTGTACGAAGTCTATGGAGAGTCAATACATTCTTTTAAGTACATCCTAACAAAATTGGAAAGGATTCTCAGTCCCAGATTCATGTCTTTTCAACATTTTGCAATGACTGACCTTTATTGAGATGATATAAAAAAAAAAAGGTGGCGTCATGTGGCAACATTTTTTTCCCAGGCATTAATTCCGCTTCCATTGTAATATTCATTTTTTAACAATCACAATCTAGCCCATGCTAACGTTAGAAATTTATGTAAAATGTTCTTATCAGCCAATCAGGGATGCCCATTCGAAAGGAATACTTTGGATATTTCATCAACCAATTTTTGGCCTTTGTCTAGATAAAGAAATACTAAGATTAGAACTTTAAATTCACCTGGAGGTGTGTTGCATTCGTACTTTTACAGCTGTGCCAGACTGCGCCATGTCCAGTCACTGCTGAGGGAACCCTCTGACAAGACGTCGCCTGGTGTGGACGCAATCCTTTGCATTCTGGGGATTGATAGCAGGTGAGAAATCGGCACCCTGGCAAACATGTAGTCTTGATCCACTGGCTTTGGATTTTGCTCCCCTAATGCGGCCAGATCCTTGCAAGCGCAGTTAAGCCGCTTTGGCGGTAGTGGTCACTATCAACAAGATATAACGAGTCCAGTCTTGGGAACTTGAGAAAACTAACGCACGAAAATTTGAGCATGCACAACAGCTTTGACCCTAACCTTCCTCCACCCTCCAAAATCCTCCAGACGGTTTTTGGAGGATTTGGGAGGATTGAGGCTGAATGGCAAAAAAGTGTTGGTTGATTTTGGAGGATGCATTGCATCAAGTTCGTAGGTTGTACCCTGCATTGTTATGTTCAGCCATGCATCATTGAGCCCGTCATTACGCTCGATATCATCCGCACTGCATCTGAATGTCATCGACACTGCCTCAAAACCAATTAACACTGATTGTTGGAGTATTTTGAAGGATTTTCAGGCAATAGTCACGCCTCCACTGAACAAATTCAAGAAATAACGGATGATTTTGGAGGATTGAGGCTGAATCAAATTTTTGCGTGGCGGCAATTGTTGGAGGATTTTGCAGGATTGAGGATGCTTCCTGGCAAAAAGGGCACTGGGGGTAGGGTTCAGTGCAGCTGCTGTGAGGTGTTCCTGGAATTTCTCGGGTCCACGTGCATAAGTTGCCAAGGTGATTTAATTGATCTTGTTTATAGCATTCTTTTATACTGCGGTGGCAACTTAAAAGTTACCTCACAACAACTGTTAATCGATCAATCAATTTTTAAGATGATGAATTGATGTTGATTATTTATGCTTCTTAAAGGTACAATGAAGGGTGTCGAGAGCTGGCCAACTACCTCCTCTTTGGATTTCTGGATCTGAGGAAAGAAGACTTAGACAGGTAGGTTTGAAATTTGAGAAGTTTGCAGCTCAATTAGTAAATTTTAATAACATTTGTAAGACAAGATAAGTTTGCGGTAGCACCATGTGAATAAATCTCTTATGTGAGTATGTGTGGTTCTGAAAAGAACATTTGTACATGTACAAGAATGATAATATTTGTATTTGTACAATATTTGTACTCAATATTTATATTTAATGTTCAGTATGCAATTTGCGCTGATGACCCAACAATACATTGGTTGGATTTGATCTGAAATTATTGTTTGCAGTCGTGTTTTGACTGATTTTCAAAATTGTGTGTTTGAATTTGCAAAATCAGAACAAACAACGAAACAATCTCACACGGAAAAACAAACACTAAAATGTTTATTTGAAGAAAAAAAATGTTTATTTGAACAAATGCTTTTCCTGATTTGTGGCATTATATGTGCCTCCGGGGTTACATCTCTGTGCTTTGTGTAATGGATTTTGATGGAAATGCAGATTATACTAAGCCACAGCAGTAAGACTGATGAGCTTTAGCAGATAACCTTCCTTGCTTGCACCCCTCCGGCAACCAAGATTAATTTGTCCAAACATGCCAAACCTTGTGAGACAAGTGCACGTACCGTAGTCCGAGGCCTGACGCATCTGTTGAGGAGATATGCACGAACGATAACCTTTTTTCATTATTCTAATAGCCCTGTGTACAAGTTTTCCCATGTTGCTGTACATCATGGCATTACATTAAAAAAAGACCCAATTTTGTGTGGCTGCTGAGCAGTCCTTAGCAAATTTGAACGCTTATCAAAAATGAGAGGAGAACCAGTCGCAAACAGGAAATATTGCATAGTATTTTGGCTGGTAACCCACCCTTGCTATGTGTAATGTTTCTGTGCTTAGTAGCATACTTACTTGCTTACCAATCCCAGAAATCAAGACTGGAATTTCATTTCAACAATTGTGTGTGTCTTGTTTTCAAATGGAATTTATGCATTGATAATTCTGTGCACACACACAAAATTAAGTGTCTGATGGCTTTTGTTTCTTTAATTGTTACCCAAAACACAGATCTGGGATTGATGAAGACATTGGGGATGGTGAGTATGTTATGATACAAAAGTGTTTATTGTTGTCGTTTCTAGGATCTGAATTGAACGGGGGAAATTTTTTTTTTTTTTTTTTACTCAACCTAACCCACCCCAAACCAGCCCAACCCACCCCAAACCAGCCCAACCCAACCCAACCCAATAGTACACAACCCAACCCAGTCCAGCCCAACCCAACCCAACCCGACCCGACCCGACCCAACCCAACCCAACCCAGCATAACCCAGTCCAGCCCAACCCAGTCCAGCCCAACCCAACCCAACCCAACCCAGCATAACCCAACCCAACCCCAACCCAACCCAATCCAACCTACCCAAACCCAACCCAACCCAACCCCAACCCAATCCTGTTCAACCCATCCCAACCCACACAAGTGTGTATTTGCCTGTAATCGGGGACCCCCTGTTCCTCTTTTGTCTGTACTCTAACTTTTTAGGAAGAAGTCCCATACATTGTATGTTTTGCACACATCGCCAAATTGGGGACCCTTCGGGAATTGGGGACCCTATTTTCCTCTATTGTTCAACGTCCCCTATTGAATGCAGAAAAAACGCAACCCAACCCGGCCCAGCACAACCCAACCCAACCCAATCAAACCCAACCCAATCAAACCTACCCAAACCCAACCCAACCCCAACCCAATCCTGTCCAACCCAACTCAACTCACCCTAACCCAACCCAATCCACCCACCCCAACCCAACCCCAACCAACCAACCCCAACTCAACCCCAACCAACCCCATCCAACCCAATCCAACCCAACTCAACTCACCCTAACCCAACCCAATCCACCCACCCCAACCCAACCAACCCCAACTCAACCCTAACCAACCCAACCACCCCTAATTGTATATTGTCAATGGAATATTACTTATCAAGAGGGTATACACATCCACATTCTTCAAAAGATTACAATTTACCAAATCTTATCCATCAAATCCAACCTCAAATCCTAGCCAGCCACAAATTAGTCATCATTCAACTATGAATTCTCCATCTCTCCTCCGCAGATCTCGTCATTCTGGTCAAGAAGGACAGTGTCCATGTGCATTACATGCCGACTGACCATGCCTACGTCATTCCTTACATTGCCCATTGGCGCAGTCTTCACCTACACAGTCTGACAGACCAAGAGGTCAGACATTTATAAAAAGAAAAAATCTGTTTCCGTTATAGATGCATTGTCCGCACAATCTTGGATTTTTTTTTCCTGCAAATTTCACCCTGAAAAAACAGATTTGCATTTTAAATTGCTATATTTTTTTTAGCAATAAAAAACTAACTCACTTTTTGAATGAGACAGCAAATGTTATAAAAAAATTGTCCCATGTTTACTTTTGGAATATTTTCTTTACAAATTTTGAATTGTTGCAGCCCAACTATAATTAGGTTTTAACTTTGTATGTTGTTACCGTGACCTGTTTAAAGTTTTGTCTTCATAGATGGTGGAAAAACCAAAATAAAACAGCTGTTCTTGTAGTCTGGTTCCCTGACCTTACTTCAAAGGAAAATGAGCAAGTTGTAGACGTTGGGAAATTGTCAGGTCAGGGAACCAGACTAGCTCTAGGCTTGCATAGGTTCATGAATGTGTAACCGATTGCAAGCAAAATTTGGTAAATTGAGGTAGTATTTGAAAAAAAATTTCAACGATAATCGGTTGACCATCTTTGGAAATTGATACAAAAATTCCACTTTTCCTGAAAATGACAGCACACCAGGTGCCATGATTTCACAGGATGCTTGAGACTATTATTCACTTAACAGTCAAGTAAGGTATTTCATAACAATTTTAATAGTTTTCTTTTGTAATGTTTGCAAATGTTGTATTTTACCTTTAAAAGATGGTATTAATTGAGTCCAATGCTCTTTCTTATCGTATCATTTGATATTTTTTTGCCATGTTTGCTTTTTTTTGCCAAAGACTGGCAGCTCCGTGATTTACCGGAGAAATCTCCCAAGGCGCACGATCAAAAGAGCTCACATCAATAGCTACCCCTTAAAGGCAGTTTTCCAAAGATTTAACAGAAAGCTAATTAAAAAGGAAAAAAAGAACAGCCTTGCAAGATTTCCATGTTATTCCGTTAAAAAAAAAAAGGAAAGAATGAAGAAAACAAAATTGCTGTGGCTTTCATTTAAAAACTAGCTCCGGGGTAAAACTAAACAAAATTTTGCCGGTATGCCACTGAACAGGGAGGTGAACATGCTGAGTGTCCAGTCAAGTGTACGTCAGGGCCTAGTCCCTTACCCTGAGGGCGATAACTCACTAATTTGCACTCTGCCGGGTTGCTTGGACAGGAGCCGCTCCATACGGGTCCATGCACTTTCCCAGTCCGATGCCCCCTGGCTTTATGATAATCGGTCTGATGCGGCAAAGAGCATTGACTGAGGCATTTGTCTGCCTGGCGTTGAAATCTCTTGAGATAATGAAAAGACGACACAAGAAAATTGATTGATTAATTCATTCTTTATTCCGTTGAACAAAGTGATGGACTTCAATTGTAGGGTACAGTTTTGGAACCTGAGTCATGTCTGGTGTCATCCATCTTAATAAAAAAAATTGACTTCCATTTATTCTTACCACCTTTGTGTAAAAATCCATCTTTTGTGAAGATATGCGTTTATTTGTTGAAAATATATTCAAAAAAAAATTTCCGATCAGTATATCCCACAAACTAAAAATTTAATTATTTAGCACAACAGGGACTCAATTTTTGATATACCCATGCCATTTGTGGGCGCGCTTACTGAGATTCATGTCGTGCTTTAAGCAAATTTGCTTAGGGAAAAACAGATTCCTTCTCGAGCTATATTTATAATAAGCATCAAATGCATTTACCCTGTTCATGCTAACCAAGCTTCATTTTGCATATTCTTGCTTGCAGCACAAGGAGGATGAAGATGCGGCCGAGAATTTCAAGGTCCTCAGCTTCATTGAGATGGTTCGGGGCTGCTCAAGAATCGGGGTCCCCTACTTTGCCAGAGGTAGGCCTACCGTAGTTCAACACCTCCCCCCCCTCCCCCCCTTCCCCCCCCCCCCACCCCGTCATCCCCTAATTCAGGGAGTGTTACGACTATAAGCATATTGTTTTTGAGCTTATTTTACAAAGAATTCGTTATAGCATCTCCTCACAGATTCTGTCTTTCTATTGGCTGAGAGCAGGTCACATGATGATTGCTACTTTGACTATATTACGGAAAAAAAACCTTGTCCCTGTAATACCAGTACTAAAGTAATTTTTACCATTTGCAATGAGGATAAGTGTCTTTAGGCTTTGGGCATGTTCATGTTGTGTCAATTTTTTTTTCTGGGTGGCACAGCAAATGTGTAGATAAAATAATAGCATTTCAGAGTGAAGAATTTTTTTATATTGGCATATAAACAAAAACAAATAAAGACAGTTGGAAAACATGTCCCTTGAATGTAAATCCAGCAATTTTGCCTGTGTTCCACAGATCACGTGCAAACATTTGACCATTTTGCGGTGGAGAAATGGCCAATCGTCCAGGCGTATGGATTGGAAGATTTTGGCACGTGAGTCTATACATGTACACTTAAACTGTGAATGGTCTCTCCAAGACTCATTAAAACTTGATTCGACGGAAGAAGGGATCTAAATGGCTGGACACCATCTGACTATTGGGGGCGCTGTTCAAAGCAGACGATTTAAAACACTCGCACACACATACTGAAATTTGTATCCTTGTGGAGACATTTCTTTGTTCTCGTGTACTTAAGTTTTCGAGTTTGAAAGTACAGTTTCAAAATGCTCTTATTTTAACCAGAATTAATTTCCTTGGCTGAAATTTGGACTAAATATCCCTTTTCTAAAACTCTACCATTTGCAACAGATCAACATACCTTGGAAATTCCTGGTTTTGAGTGAAATCCATATATCTATTTCGTAAAAATCTTGTGGAGATGTATTCACCTATAGAAATTGCCCTGTGGAGATACATACAATCTTTTGTCCCCTATTGTGTGCATGTCTCCAGAGGGCACGGTGTATCGGATCAATACGTGGCGTTATTCATGGCGGCATACAATGTATTTGCCTACATTGGTATGCTTAGAAGTTTCACAAAACGTACCGTGCTGAGTTGAGACAAAACAGATTTTAGTTCCTCATTCCTTGTTTTGTTTTGTTTTCTCCGCAGTGGTGGTTTCTTCACGATGAAACATGAGGTCAGTAAAGACAACATTCTATGTAAAAGAGTAACTTTCACTTAGCATCTTAATAAAAACAACATCTTAATATAGCATCTTATAAAAACAACAGGCTACTTCTGCTTACTGATTTTGCAGGAAGCGTGTAAAAAGTGTGAAACATTCGCTTTTATTATTATTATTATTCTGGTTTATTGAAACATTGTGTTTGTAGCCGGAGGCTAAATTGTCACAATGCGAGCAAATTAAAAACACAAAAATCAAACATACAAATTTACTAAAACATTTACAATCATACATACAAATATCAAGTTACAGTACGTGAAAAAAGATTTACACACTGGAATATAAGAAAAGCGCACTCTACCAGAATAGTACATGATAAAAAGGGAGTATAAAATCAATATTTTGAAAGTTAAAAATTAAAAGAAATCTGATTTAAATCAAAAAAAATTCTGATTTAAATCAAATGTATCTGATTTTTTTTTTTTTTTTTTTTAAATAAAAAAAATCGTCAACCGTTCTGATCTGATTTGATTTAAATCAAATATGTCCGAATTTTTTTTTTTTTTTTTTTTAATCAAAAAATTGTCAACCGTGCTGGTTGTGCGTTTCAGTTGTTGGCGTATCGGCTCTGATAACACACCGGTATAGAATACAAACGCAGGTATGCAAGTAGAGCTGCACTAGTAAGCCATACTTAATTATGAGTCTTCCATAGGTTTGTGCACAAACATGGATGCGCCCAGCAGGCTTCACTTTGTACTGCGACTTAGCGCTCTAGTAATTAACATTAGATGGATAATTGCATCTAGAATGAATTACTACAGCTCAATGGCTGAAGCCATTTCATTAATCCTCACAAGATGGCAGCCTTATATATTTTCCCATCTCAATTTCAGGTCGTTGACGTGACCGAATCCCTGTCGCAAATCTACGACGTCGTGGACCCAGTTTCCCTAGAGAGACTGGTCACAAAACAGCTACCATTATTTGAAAGACAATGGCATGCCTTACTGACCAACGTAGACATTGCATTGTGAGTAAAATTCTCTTTCATTTTCAAAAGCCAAAATTACTGATAATGTGACCAACATGACCCTTTTAATTATCTACAAATTGTGGCCACAGACACCAGACTAGGTCTTATGAATCAAAAAAAAAAAAATGCTCACCTAGATATATCAGAATCAAGTTATCAAATTTGCTTTTCTCAAATTAAGTTTTGAGAGCCCCACAAAAGATATGTGGCTTTCTTTTTCATCGTAGCCCATTGTCGTGTAACGGTAAAAATGCCCCCAATTATTTGAGCAACAATGTTGTTAGAGGGAAATGTTTTTGGGGTCGAACAAGTAGGTGAAACATTGTGGGGCATGGTTATTCAATTATAGGAAATCATATGTCTACATTAACCTGCCTGGGTAAGATGCCATCTGTCAATTTTTTTTTTCTGTCAATTTCAGCAAGGAACGCAGCACATTTGGGGAGATGTCGGAGAGCACGGTTGCAGAGGTATGTCAATTGTTCAATAGCTCTGGTTGTGGTTTAAAGGGATATTTCATCCTGGCATGCGCCCAATCAGGCTACAAAACGTATTTTAAACGAAATTATGTTAATTGGAAAGAGCGTTAAAAAGTAGGAGATAAACGTCCACACAACCATCCTTTAAACCTGGGCGTTTGTGTATTATTCTTGTGAGAACAAAATTTTGGGGGTCAAAATGTTGACTCATAAATTGAGCTGTTTGGATGCAAGTCGTGAATCCTATTACACAAACAATATTTGTGTATTGGTGCTGTGTGAATTATGTGACACACACACAATGTGTATAATTTATGTACATTAAATGGACACGGCTGATCTGGTACACCGTGCCCTCTGGAGACATGCACACAATAGAGAACAAAAGATTGTATACGTCTCCACAGGGCAATTTCTATAGAAGAATATGTCTCCATAAGGTTTTCACGAAAAAGATATATGGATTTTACTCAAAAACTAGGAATTTCCAAGGTATGTTGATTTGTCGCAAATGGTAGAGTTTTAGAAAAGGGATATTAAGTCCAAATTTCAGCCAAGAAAATTAATCTGGTTAAAATAAGAGCATTTTGAAAGTGTACTTTCAAACTCGAAAACTTTAGTACACGAGAACAAAGAAATATCTCCACAAGGATACAAATTTCAGTATTTGTGGAAATACGCGTGTGTAAGCCACAAAATGTCCGCCGCGCCAGAAGTAAACAACCGGGATTTTTCATCTTTTCTCAGGAACAGTACGACATTAGGTTTAGTTTCCCCTCAACCGGAAATTTGAAATAGGATGAGTAAACAATCTAAAACATAAATATCTTGGCGATCCTAGGACGTAATTTCCTTTAACAGGCTGAATATTTCATCAGATTGTTCCCCAGTTGTCTTTTTTTTTTCGCTCCAACAAATTTTTTTCCCACAGATGCTGTGTAAAGGAACCATTATGATATTTTTTAAAGAAATTTGGAAGAGAAAGTGATTTTGTATTTTAATTTGTTTGGAAAAGGAATCGCGTTCATAAATAGTTCAGTTATGAAACTGTGAACTTCACAAATAAAGTGCGTCATTTCCTTTTAAGACACTTGAATTTTCCCATTTTTGTTTTCTAGCCGCTGAAAAGTTTCTACAGCCACGGTCGTGTTGCAAGTCCAAGATCGGAGAAAAGGTACAGAAAAATCAACTACTCTGTAACATCTGTTAGTTATTTTTTTAATTTAAAGATTCCAGAAGCATTATACACTGCCCGTAAAAATGTCAAAATCATTTGGGACTTTTGTACGGTGTGGGTTCATGTCCAGCCTGGGTGGCTTGGGTGGTTAGTGCGTTAAGTGCTCGCCTCTCACCACTGTGGGCCGGGTTCGATTCCTGGCTCGGACCATACGTGAGTAGAGATGTTTGTTGATTTCTGTACCACGAGGGTTTTTCTCCGGGCTCTCCAGTTTTCCTCCCTCTGCAAAAATGAACACTTATGGTCTCTGGCTGTGCTCCGTGGTCAGACATGGGTCATATAGCAACTCCCTAAGGCACCTTTACATGCCTTTGACCACAATGTAGCTGTGTGTTATTGTTTTTGCCCTTTGTGTAAAAATGGCAGCATAGAGCCGTAAACTTCCTTGGTAGCTGAAATCGAGGAATTCTTAACATGCCCTATGAGCAGGGGTAATAATGATGCAGATATGAGCTTTTTACAAAAATACTTTTAATGAATTGTTGCTTGTATGCAGCCATGTGTGATTGTATTCATTTGTTTCTAAAATGAAAATTCCTTGTCGTCAAAAAATGAGGAAAATACTTGATGTGATGTATATTTTTGGGGTCCACAGTTGTAGGAAACCGTTCGTGTTATTTGGCCAACGTTCCAGCAGCATCACACCACCAGAGACAGATGGCACCATTGGTACGGCAGGGGTCGGTAACAGTGCAGCCAAGTACATGGTAAGTGAAACTACAAAATATTTTATTTTATTTATTTATTTTATTTCCAGTGTGGAAAATGGTTCCAAACACGCGCGTTTGTTGCTAGAAATGTATTCGAAATATGACGCAGCCGATGCGCGTTAGGCAATTTGATGCTCAAAATGCCGATGCGCGTGGATGGTCTGTAGGAAATGACGTCATTTGAACGAGACCTATTGGACATTCTGTTGACAAGTTATGGCTGAATAAAGTTTGCATTTATCAACATGTCAAGAAAGCATAACACTGAGAAAAAGGCCTGTCAAGTTTTGAGTGTTGTATTCGTGAAAATGAAAGGTGCAAATTGTTTTTCCTCAAAAACATTTTTATATTGCACATTTTTTATACTCCATCTTTAAAACATGTGTCGTGGACATATCACAGATAACAAATATCGATAAATCTGAAATCGAAGAAAAATCACTGCATTCAGCTTTTTGCAATTTTCTCCACTACCGTCTGCCCTGGACCGTCTGGTTTTGCCAGAACATCTGACACTAAAAAAGTTGTGCATGTTTTGAGCTTGTCCCTTTTACTCATCCGTGTCTCTCTTACACCAGGTATGCCAGGCCGTTGGACCCAAGAGCCCCTTGTGTTGTGGGCGTACCTACTTCTTTGGTAGCGGACACACCCCATACCCAGTGACTGGGGGCACACCCAGAGCCCCTAGATCACCCAAGACAGACATAGAGTAAGTTGGGCTGAATCAACCCTTTTAGTGATTATTTTCATGGTTCATTTTGATACATGAAAAACATTGAAGTAGAAATGAATACAGTGTTTTAATCTTTATGTCACTTTGCCTCTGTTTGTGTTGGGAAATATATTTCCATACACTTTTCATTCTGTAATACACCATTTTTTTTTCAAAATTGCCAAAAAAATGATCTCTAAATGCAATAAAGCCTGTATTGTGATACCTTTGGTCGAGAATTTCTGAAATTATATGGAACGTATGAATTATTGCTTTTCGATTTTATATTAAAGGTAACATATACAACATTTGCAAGCATCAAAAAACAAAACTCACAAATTATTATGAAATACCTTACTTGACTGTAAGTGAATAATAGTCTCAAGCATCCTATGAAATCGTGGCACCATGGTGTGCTGTCATTTTCAAGAAAAGTGGAATTTTTGTATCAATTTTCAACGATGGTCGGCTGACTTTTGACTTTTTTTCAAATGCTGTCCCCAATTTACCAATGCTGTCCCCAATTTGGGTGCAAGCCAGCAAGTCTGGTTTCCTGACCTGACAATTACCTGACGCCTAGGGTCGTCTGACGTAGGGTCTGGGAACCAGACTACAAGAACAGCATTTTTGTTCTTGGTTTTTGCAGCATTTACGACCACAACATTTTAAACAGGTCAGTGTAACAATATTTGCTATAAAATACTAAAATCCATCCATTTCTGAAAATAACAGCCGAAGCAAATGTTACCTTTAAAGTGAACTTTTTTGCTGAACTTGATCAGCAAAGGGAAAGCAGAAACTTGAAGTCAATAACTGACGATTTATGACACACATTTCCTGATTAATATCTGTCGCGTTTCACTTTCGCTTTTCATCCCAATGTAGACTTCTGTCCAAACTCTACAAAGTTGCAATAGACGCCATACTGGCTTCGATCCAGGCCTACGGACAAACTTCAAGTGCAAAAGAGGTAAGAAGTGAGCATTTAATCTCCAGTTCTTTTGTCAAGTATTCGCCTGTTCTTTTCAACAATTAGCGCCAGTTACATGTATTGAAAGAATAACTTGTGCTTATGATGTGACTTTCTTCTCTCCTAGGCTGAGGCAGTGTGCACGCAGACCATAAGAGAGGGTTGCGCAGAAGATTTGCTGAATGCTGACACATACATCGCAAGGTAGATTATCACAAAACTCCTTAAACCAGTAACACTCAAACAAACAGTTTTATTTACTCCTTAACCAGGGGTCAATTTCATAGAGCTGCTTAAGCACAAAATTTGCGTAAGCACAAAAACGTCTTGCTTAATAAAATCAGGTTACCGGCCAAAAGTCAATGCGATTGTTATGCTAAGTAAACAACAGCTAAATACCAGTCACAAGCAATGTACATCACATGGAGTTTTGGCCGGTAACCTAATTTTACTAAGCAATGTTTTTTCGTGCTTAAGCAAATTTTCTGCTTAAGCAGCTCTATGAAATTGGGCCCAGTTCGCTTCGGAGGACGTGCTCACACGCACTGGCTGTTTTTAGACACAGGCACGGCTGACAGTTTAAAACTTCAAGCGTGCCTTGATTCGCCTCCGGGTGACGTCTAAACACCCTAATCCCTTGTGTCTTTTGTATGTACATACAGAGTTGGGTAAGTTTGATGAGGCAGATCGTGTGTTGATCTTGAATTGGCCGTTGTGCACGGCCTATTGTACAATTTACGCTCTGTTGCACACCTTGGACTGTTGAAAAATATGAGGTTTCGGCAAGAAATGTCGCACAAATACTGTTGAAATGACTCTTGCGAATCAGTATCTGTGGCGTTTGGCTGTTTATCAGAAGTTGGCTGGAAAATTTTGCCGTTTGCGAAAATCAAAATTTACGGCAAAAATGATCCCGGCGCGAAGTGGTTAATCAAAACTTGAATCTTGTTGTTTGACAGAATGCAGTTTTCCTTGGAGGCCTTTGATCACCACGGCAACATGGTTCCGTTGCAAGAGGGCAAGCCGTCGCCCTTGGTGAAAATGGTAAGACGTTGTGATTGTAGTGGAATATTTGTAACTTTGACAAGGTTTTTTTGGAGAAATTTTAAAAAAACCAGACATTTTTAAGAAAAAAAGGTCAGCAAAAAATGCCTTGGGAGTAACGAGATAAGATTGTGTAGTTCATTTATCCATTGTGGAACTTTCTTCCGACACCACTAGGCAAGTCTCAGGCTGGCTGACATCGGCAGTCTGGAGCACAGCGGCAACTCCCTGGGATCTGTGATGTTCTCGGAAAGTTTCCTGGACTCAAGAATCACCGTGTCACATCCAGGTAAGACAGCCCTAAACAAAGCAAGTCACAAAGTCAAAACACAAAGCAGTTACAAAGTTAAATTCATGCGGATAGCTTGTGACTAGACTTGAGACTGGGGACTTGTGGTTGACTTGTGGGTGAGTTGTGATAACTTGACTACCGCTGGCATGTTTAAGGGGTCACATCAAATACATGTACCCTAAAGTTCAAGCTAAAGTGTGTTTTAACAGTCATTTTTTTTCCGCAACTTTAAACATTATATTCCCATGTTATCTATGACAATATTCTTCATTCTATAATTGTGCATTTGATGACAGGTCTGAGCCCAACGATTGACAGCCAGTGTCTCATCCTTACCAGTCATATTCCAAGATATGTCTCTTGGGCTGTAAGTACATCTTGTTGAAAACCTTTTTGTTTATATTTTATAAGAAATGAAATACTGCTACAAATATCTCACCGACTTATCTGGCCTGAATAAATATCCATAGATCTAGGTAAGTTACTGCATTTTCCTGCTTTTTTCAATTGCAGAAAACATGTTTTGGCTCCTTACACTGGACTTTATTTAACTCCAATTTCTTGCAAAAATGTCAGGGCCGAAAATATGTTAGTTGCTATCTGTGAATAAACTGTTTGTTATGTTACCAATGGAGTACAGAAGAGTGACGTCATTTAGAACCAGAAAGTGTAGTGCAAACGAATGGAGTACACGCGCTTGTTGGTTCACCGGCTGAATCACGCACTAATGTCTTTCACACACAGATTGTGCGCGTGACGTATTCACTTCGATACTCCATGCAATTGTTAATTTAATTTTTTTAATCAAACAAAGTAAAATCTATAATTTTATTTTTAGGTAGATGTGCCGGAGAAGATTTCCTCCAAACTCACGGAGACTTTCACTAAGGTAAAGACACAGGTTTTAGAGTGAGAAATGAAGCCACTGTCTATTGCATATTCTGTAGAGGAGTGTGGCCAAGTGGTCAGGGTATTGTGAGTCAGGATCAAAGTGTCAGGGGTTCGAATCCAGCTGCTGGCCATATGTTGTGTCCTTGGGCAAGCCCCTTTGCTCTCTCCATCCAGGAGTATATACGGGTACCAGCATTAGCTGGGGAGTAGCCTGCGATGGACTAGCATCCCATCCAGGGGGAATAGAAATATTCTCAGTCATTTCATGCCAATGAAACCGGAGTTAAACGCTGGCCTAATGAGCCATAGTTTCTCATGTCAGACTTGACTTTCGAATTGTATATTTTATGTTATATTAATAATTTGTAGTTATTTGTAGTATCTGTTGTTATTGTCCGGTATCGTTTCAGTCCTCCGATGTGTTTGGCAAGGCTCTACTGAGTGGTGAATCCATCATTGCGCTGGGGAACAAGGAACTATCCACAGCCCATGAAGGTAGGACACCAAAAAACTGGGGAGAGTTCAGATAGATCATTCAAGGCATCACTATTTGGATGTCTTTTTAAAACCTCAAAGAATGTAACATGGCCATCTTTACCATATTTTTTTTTTTCCAAACTTCGTCTTCCCCCAGGCCAGTTGTACATCTGTGAGAAGGGCATCGTCTTCCAAGACAGCAGGCACGGAGTGGTCATCTTCCCCAAGTCTTACTTTGAAGAGATGCAGTTCTTTGACGGGGTAAGAGGTTTTTCTCTTGGCTTAAAAAAGAAACGGCTTGCGTGTCTTTTTTTTTTTTTAATTAAAAATTGATTCAAGATTTTTTTGGAGCTTGCTTCAAGGATTGCGCCAATGCAGCCGGTCTCCAACTGCAGTGGTAGAACAAAAGAAAAAGATTCCAATTCAAAATTATTACTTTTGTTTAATTGTTTTTTTTTTGTTTTTGTTTTTTTTTAATTCATTTTTTTCTTCTTATTTCCCCTTTTTTTTTAAGGATTCCTCCAGCGTGATAGCAGCGTTGGTGATCACCTACAGACATTCCTTGCAGCAGTACCTCCCCATGCATTACCACAATGAGGGGGATACTGTCATGTTTGCCTTCACGCCCAAAACCAGAGCACACCGGGCCTTCTACAGCGAGGTAATGATCGATTTCAAGTTTTTATGTTTTAAATGAAGAAAATGCTATGATAATATTCCAGTGCAAAAACCCACGGAATTATGCTGGGATTGAAAATCTGTTGGTCCATTGGAGTAATTTTGTAAGGTTCCCAGCCACTCCGAAAATTGGGGAAAATCTTGAAAATGAGTTTCCATTTTTCCAGTCAGGAAACTCAGGAAGTTTGGGAAAAACACAAAAAAATATCAGGGATTAGTCAGAAAATTTGACTGTGACCCAGTAGGGGAAATTTTTCGCCAGTTTGGCGAAAAGGAAAGGATGGCTGTAAGGGGAGAAGGGAGGCCAACGAGTTGCTGCAACCACCTCTTGAATTCCCGGCAACTTTGTTAGAGTGAAAATATTTTGCTGCTTTGTCAAAATGGTGACGTCCACATTTGCCTACTTTTTCCTTCCTTATGAAAATGGAGAATGTTATCTGTTTCTCTGCCCAATCAGAATGCCTCTCTTATTTTGTGCATTTCATGATAGTTAATGCACTAATGGTACAAGTGTAATGATTGGTTCAACAGGTGATGTCCTTGTGGCCAATCAGAACGTCTCTCTTATTTTGTGCATTTCACGATGGGTCATTCAGTAATGATACAAGTGTAATGATTGGTTGATCAGGTCATATCCCTGTGGCTGAAGACATCAGACGAGCCACTGCTGAAGCTGATTGACAAAGTTCCCGAATACTTTGTCGCTCCGTAAGTTTTCCGTTTCTCTCGTTTTTAATCTCTAAATATTCAAATGGAAGAAAAAAAATCAGCCTGGTAATGTTTTGCCTTTTGAAGTTTAACAGTGTTTAACACTTCTAAATTAATAACCCTGTATTTAACACTACAACAGTTAATGTTAATTAGACTAGTCTACCATGAGCCTTTTCTGGATCTTTTCCATCCTGTTAACATCTTCAGTTGTCCAAATCTCTGACAGGCACGCAGAGCTCCAGATGCAGTATGCCTTGGCCAACAAACTGAACGTGGACGCACGGCCCATCAGCGTGGCTATGGCCAATCTTTACCAACTGAAAAGGTACGGACGTTATTGATGTATCAATGAACATTTTAAGAAAAAAATTGAAAAATTAAATTTCATTTTATTTTATTCTTCCCCTGTATATCACATCTTGCACTGGAATTGACAACAGATAAGTGTTATGTTAATATTTATTTTTGTTATTTTTTTCTGTCAATGAAGCCAAGGATTCCTCAAAAGTGTCCAAGGCACTGTAACAGGCAAGAAACTATCAAGAAATGTTTAGTTTTAGTGGTGGGAGGAAAACCCCAGAATAATATACTATAGAAAACCCACGGAATCAGGTAGGGGCTGAAAACCCAATTCCAGGGCAGGAATCGAACCCGGGCCATAGAGGCTGAAGGCATGGAAAGGATCACTGCACCAACCTGACTCTGCATTATTTCTGATTGTTATAGCCAAAGTTAGGTTCGCCAAATAAATTTCCAATTTTTTTTTTCCTTCTAGTTTCCTGGAGCACTTCTCCGCCAGCAGTGTCGGTGAGGCCCCCATACCAGACAAGGATCTGGCCTGCGTTCTGCATCGGAAACCAGCGGACCAAGTTAATGGTGCCGCAGATACTGGAGAGGTACGGCAGTGCAGGCTGACATTTGTGAACGAGTGGAATGATATGCAATGTTCAATTCAATTCAATTCAATGACATTTATTTCCATCAAAAGCAAGGTAAAGGGCAAACAATCTAATAATGAACACATTTAACCAGTTTACGCCGGATGACGTGTACACATGGAAATGTTTTGCGGTATTGAGAACGGATGACGGATACACACACAACGAGCGAGGCCTGAAATATCTATCAGCGGCCCGCTCGCAGCGAGCGAGGCTGGAAATATGAGGGTGTGCTACCTGCAGATGACGGCCTGAACCCGTCTGGCATCGAGGTTCATGGAAAACAATCCCGTGCCTGGGTCCGGTCAATGTCAAAATAATCCCGGCGCGAACTGGAAAAAAAAAAAATAATGAAGACTTTTATACCCAAACAAATTTATATTCACGTATTCATTATTCATTTCTCTGAGCTCTATGGAAATAATGAGACATCTTTTGGGGGAGGGGTTTAAATGTTTTTAAAAATCATGAAAATGATTTTATTTATTCATTTTTTACAGATTGTAGTGACCATCGTTACCGGCATCCCAGGCAGTCACAAGGAAAACCTCTGCAACATCCTGACCAACATGGCCAAGGAACAAAGCAGGTTTGTAGAAAAAAGTAGAATTCATTATACAAATGGAACCAATTTCCAGCACCAGGCCCTCTAGGACCAGAAAACAAAAGTGTCATAAATATTGTCTCTGTTCTTGAATTCCTTATTTCTCCAAGGTGGGTGACCCTACGACAGCCCTTTGATTCAGCTGACGCCTTCAACGCGGAGTCCCTCCAGACCTCGCTCGGTGCCATCCTTGTGGCCAGCAAGAAGAGAAATGTCCGAGCGGCCACGGGAGGCCGCAAGAAAATGAGAGTGCTCATCGCCACACCAGGGTAAGAACAAAACAAGAATTGGGTTTAATTTCTTCATTTTAATAATTAATGTTGCATTACTAGAGGTGGGTGCATACTTCGTGCAAACGTTAAAATGATGCGAGTTCAAATTTTGCAGAAAAAAAACTGACAGAGTTGAGTTGTGTATTGTGAGTTAACAGCACAAAAGCTTGTCACAGTGTCACAAATTTGGTGTCAGCTAATGTGTAATATTTGACCTATTACACCTGGGCAAGAGTTAATAGTTTGGTGATTTCAAAACTTCCTGCAAATTAGAAAAGGAACTTCTGCTACATAGCTAGGATTCTACAGTAAACAGCCTACCATTAAATTGAATATTTTTTTTAAAGCTTGTTCTTTTTGGCTTGAGACTCAATTTGTCTTGGAAGATGCAGAAAGGTCAGATCAAAGATGCAGAAAAGTAAAAAGACAAGGACGTGTATCTTCTTTGCCTTATTGCTGCCTAATTTGGTATTAGCCGGCAAAAGTGCAAACAGCAGTCTTGTCTTCATCATTATATGTGTAATGGTACCATTAAGGAGACACGTTATCGTAATTTCTTCGCACGATGGGAGACACTGGTCATTAGGGATACATTTTCATGTCTCCCAGATGTCACAGCCCCCTTTTAGAGGCACAATTTTACTGTCGCAATTAGCTTATATCTGTTGCTGGTGGTCTAATTGGTAAACATACTGAAATTCGTGGAAAAAGGACAAAGGAAAATTGGGTTAGGGCGCATTGAAGTTTGAAAAATTTTGTGTACAAGTCTATGGAAATGTCTCCCAAATGACCCATTTTCCCGTAATTATTATTATTATTATTATTATTATTATTTTATCGTTAGCAAAACAACAAAGTGATGTTTTTTTTCACCTCCCTGCTAGCTTCACGGACACGGTGGATGTAGTCCGTGCCATCACCTGCCACCCAGACCCTGAGGTGGCCCACCAGGTGCGCATCGGTGCAGTCACAGCCTGCGTGGATGCCCACAACACCTTCATGGCTCACAGGTGGGTACACAAATGCTTCACAGGTGTCTGAGATCTAACCACACCCTCCCCCCTCCGAACTCCACCCACCGAACCCACCCCCATGAAAGAAAGTCAGAAGATTGATGTAATACACATTTGAAAGTTCAAAAATACTAAACAACCTAAAAAATGAACTTGAGTTTTCACTACAAAATAACAGTCAACATTGCAAATTAAAATTTACAGTATTGGATCGTCTGTTGCATCTCAAGACTCAAGAAGGGTTACTAAATCGATTTGATTTTTACCTCGAAGCTCACGACTTGCTCTTTTGAAGTATTGAACTAATTTGCTTCTTTTTTCCCCCCTTTTTTTAATTACTTTCCTTTCGGATCCTTAAAGAAAAATGCCAGAAAAACAGTGTTCACTTTTTTGCATTGGCAAACCGTATTTCAGTTTTTCAGTATCTGTCTATTATAAGATGGAATTTTTGCGTCGGGGTGATATAAATCAAATTAGGTTTTGCTAATTTTGCTAATTAGGTTTTGCTAATGTCTATGTTTATATGGTTCTTTGTCATTGCAGATATACATTCCCTAAGCTTTTAGACCAGTGTGCCCAGGGTTGGGTCAACAACGTCCTCTTCACAAGCTCTGCATCGGGACCGGTAAGTGGCTAACAAAAGATGTGCTAAAAACTTTTGTACAGGTAAAGGTAGAGGGGTGAACCTGTGTTCACAGGAACGGAGTGCCCATCTCTCTTTCGAAGCGATTGGGCCAGACTTGAGTCCATGAAATGCTGCTGTGGGGGGATCGCCACACCTCCTCCACAGCGAGTCTGTTACCTTCCCAGCATGGAATAATGCGGTTACTTGATAATACATGTAATTATAATAATTTGGGAGGCTAATCATCCTTACTCGCAGCTAAGAAGCTGTATTGCGAAGGACGCGGCTACAACATGGTCAGGCAGACGGCATGAAAAGTGCCTCAGGCAGCTGCCATATGACCCATGTCTGACCACGGAGCACAGCCAGTGATCGAAAGTGCTGATTTTTGCAGAGGAAGGAAAACCAAAGAGCCTGGAGAAAAACCCTTGTGGCACAGGAGAGAATCAGCAAACAACTCTACTCACATTATGGCCCGAGCCGGGAATCGAACCCAGGCCACAGTGGTGAGAGGCAAGCACTTCACACACTAGCCATGTCACCCCAGATGATGCTTTCTTTACTGGTGTTTTTTGCAGGATCCTTTGCTGTCCATGGTGCAAGAACTCCTACGAAGAGTCAATCCTGGACTAGCTTTCATCCTGGCCAACAAAGGCGAGATATCAAGGTGATGTTCATTATCTTTAAAATATACCCATGCACCGACCTGACACCCCTCGCAATTCTTGTTAACACAACGAACTCAAATCAAACTAAACCATAAGGCGGCAATATTCTATGCATATGCAGTCTTATTTAACTTGCTTTAGTTTTGATATTTTGTTGAATTCCTGAATTGCAGAAGCGAGGATGTGGACATGATTCTCTCCGAGACGCTGTTCACCACGCCTAGCATGATCAGAGCCAGGCACCTTCTGTCCCCTGGCTGGTGAGTATTGAGTCAATGCTTCCAAAATGTTTGTTTATTGAAAACTGCTAAACTTAACCGTAACTGAACTCAACCCATCAAAGCCCAACAGCAGGTTTTGTTGAAATATGTTGGGATGGGTACAGTACCCCTAAACCGATGGTCTTTTTACATTGGGTTTGGCATACCTCCACAAATGTGTGTTGGAATTTGCCAGGATGGTTATGGTTCTTAGTAAATTATGCTAGGGAGTTAGGGTTAATAAGCTGAGGTGGTAGAGTTTGGGCGAACAATACGGCCATCAGAGTTTCGCAGCAAAAGGTCGAGGATTTTTTTTAGTCCCTCTCAATGAGGTTGTGATTTTTTTTCTTCAGCCCGCTAAGTTCAAAGTGCTTGTAAAAGAAAATTGGCAAAGATCAGAAATAGCATCAAAGGAAATGCTTGTAGTTGCGATATCTGTACTGGTTAGATTTAGACATCGTATTCATCATCATACTTCTGAATGCAGAAGAAGTATATTTTTGTGAGTTCGCAAAAATGATGATGGTCCTTTTAATGCAGATGTGAAGACAGGGATCAGATCACAATTTCTCTAGTCGTGTGACACTTACTTGTATAGACAATAATGTGATTTGAGGCATTGGACATCTTGGTAGCAGTTTATAGATAGCTTCACATCAAATGACAAACTCAAAAAAACTAAGATGGTTCTGAGAGTGTACACCTTTTGCTCTTCTCAGAGCCACCTTTCTTTGAGAGATGTTCCCAAACTTGATGAGGTTTATGGATTTAAACCATCCACAGCTTATAACTAACTGGAAAATGCTTTGCTTTTCTTGATAGGACTGAAAGTGAGTTCCACTCCAGCACCATCTACCCAGCTATGACCACCGTCTCTCTGAAATTCAGCCAGCCGTTGGACAGGGGTAAACTCTTGGTCAAGCTGCGCGACCTCCGTGACCAAGCCGCCAAGGGAAGTCCATTCACCGGAAATATCTACTGCGTTACAGGGCGCACCAAGTTCACAGGTAAAACCTATTCAGTTAGCAAATTGTACATCAGTTTGACAAAAGTTTTGGGGATTGATTGTTTTAGCATTTGATTTTGCCCTGCTTGGCTTAATTTTATTAAAACTGTAAGCTCCGTGCTCTCCAAGAGCGAGAATGAAACGTTGAGATCAGTTGTGTACAGCAGTATTAGATCAGCACAATCTGTTCTCAACCCTCCTAAGTACCCATTAGTTTTCCTTAGTGGAGAAGGATAATTTTGGTAAAGTGCCTTGCCCAAGAACACAAGCACCCTAATCCATGTCGGGGCTCAAACCCACATACCAACTCACATGATTTGGACACTACACTCACTGGACCATTGCTCTCTGCTTGATAAACTTTTCATGGTGATGTAAAGTTAATTATTACAAACTTTGTTTTATAATAATTTCTGCTTTCATATACTCCTCGCATTCACAGACTCGGACCAACTAATGGAACTACAAAGCGTCACCCTAAGCAGTTACATCTCCCTGACCCCTGCCTCCGAGACAGCACCCATCCGGCCCCCGTCAGCTCCCCAATCGCCCACCCCTCCCCGCCAGCCCACTCCCCCCGGCACCCGCACCAACGGGCCCAACGAGAAGGGAGACAATGGTTACACCTTCTGCCTGGTGTTCGTGGGTTGCGGCCTGGAGGAAGGGAAGCTGAAGGAATGGATGAGGGGCTGTGCCAGGCAGCGGCCGGAGAAGAAGCCGCTCAAGACCAAGCAGTCGCTGACCAGGGAGGAGAGGAAGAGAATACATGTGAGTTTCTTTGTATGGTGCAAGCTGTTAAGAGGTGTTGCCAAAGTGTCACAAGTCCAATGCTAGTCTGTGTCCACGACTAGATTTTGAATGACTTTGGCAGTCCCTCCCTGGCAAGGACAGCGTAGAGCGTAGGACCATTAGTTGACTAGTGGTTGGTTTGTGGCGTAACTTACGCCTGCGCACCAATAGTAACGTGGGAACGCCTCTAGTCAAACGATGGTCAAAACCTCATCACAAAACTTCTTGATCCTGGGTCCCCGTTGTGCTGTATGATGCATGCAGCTATCAGCTATGGTAACCAGTGATGTGGTCTGGTCCAATTACAGTAGAACGCCACTATAACAAACAAGATGGTGTCCATGCAAAATGTTCGTTATAGTGGTCGTTCGTTATAGTGATTGAGCATTTATAATGGAATTTACTATTTCTGGAGCCAACAAGATGAATCAAATCCAGTCTTAGGAATATCGGCCCTCTATTGATGGTAATGCATGAGCATGAGGTTTTCTCCACATTTCTTGGGTCCCAGTGCCAAAGTTCCCAAGATTGGATTTGATTCTTCTTGTTGATTGCACCCTCTATCGCTGCAATTGCTCGCCTGCACTTGCTGGGGGCGGGGACCTGGCTGTAGGGGGAAATAATACAAAATCTAGTGTTAGAAAAAGACTAGTGATTGACTTGTGATGACTTGCAACTGACACAATTGTTTGTGAATTCAACCCAAGAACTCACATCTCCTATGCCATTTCACCAACCTGTTGTTTGTGTATTGTTTTCTTGGCAGACAAAGCATCACCTGGATGCCCTTCCCGAGGGGTGGTTCTACAACGGTTCGCAATACGTCAGCATGACAGGAGAAAAGACCGACACTCACCCAGGTAGATATGTCCCTTCGGCAAATACAGAGATTTGTTTTCGATCAGTCAACCAGCTTTAATAAACAAAATAGCTATGATGACCTGTACAGCACTATAATTGAAAAAATAATAGGGTGAAAGTAAGTAAACACGAACAATGACAAAGGAATACTTTTGCACCACCGCAGAAAATGCAGAGATTCCAACCTTTACTCTTTTGGAGTAATTATTAGGATTTTGAGGCATGTTACTACTCTTGAGAATTCCAGCTGTCCTATACGCCAACATTGTGGTAACTCTGAAAAGTACTGTGGTTACTCTTAAACTTGACTGTTGTCCTATGTATTTACATTAGCATTACTCTGTGCAGGAAGAATCATTACTATTTTGTAGTCTGTAAAGTTGGCATCTCTGAAAATGGCTGCCTCCGGATTTGTCTATAGACCTTAAGTAAGCAAAGAGCAGCAGAGTTTTATACCTCTGGTTCTTTTCAGAACCATTCTCTTAGATTGAGAAATTATTCCCACATGGTGTTTCTGCAACCTTTTATTCATTAGTATCTCCATTGGTATTCATTGGTATTCTCACCTTCAGGTATGGACACTTTCGTCGACGATTACTTGAAGCAGGCCAATGCAATCGTGGAGAAGTACAACGCACGCATCGAGTCTGAGGTCTACAAGGACCTCTTTGCATGAAAGATGGGCCATTGACCTCAGGTCAAAGGTCATCATTGGCCAGGCCAGGGGTCACAAATCTGTTGACCCATGTACGAATGACCACCCTGTGTCTCTTCCAGTGAAGTGTTGAGAAGTTGTTTTTGATAGGTTTAATTCAAATTCTTACTTTGGAGGAATTTTTGTAAGCAAAATTCTATGAAGAAATGTCAACCACTGTCTGAGATATCAGGTTCATATTTCTTCTTTTTTTCTCCAACCCGAAATTTGATTTAAAATAAACGCGATTTTTCCCATGGTTTCGAAATCAAATTTTGCATGGAAGGTGACATTTACCTTAAAAATATGTAGATTTTCAAACCCTGCTTTGAAAACATTGTGGCTCCCCCCCCCCCCCCTCCAAAAAAAAAATTCAGCTGTGCCATTATAATTTGCAGTTGTACCTTTTTTGCTTTGGTATGGTACAACACAACACATTGTAGAAAATGTTAACTAAAAGTTTTGGGTTTTTTGTACATATGTTTGCAGTTCAAATTTTATTTGTATTACCCATTTTTCCGTCCAGTTTTGTTTTGGCTTCCCAAATTGACAATTGTACTTAAAAAAAAAAAAATTCCATGTTGCTTGAATGGCAATTTCCAAAGTGCAGATTTGTGACATTTTTCACACAGTTAGCACAAAGTGATGAAGTTTGAATTTTCACCGAGTGTATATTTTGTATACAATTTTATTCCTACAGAGTTTGTACAAAATTTGTTTTTCTGTATTCTTGTTCACCTTAGTGTCATTGAAAATTCGATTAAATTTATGAATTTTACATTTGATATTATGCTTCGTGTTCATTTATTGGAAAGGAAGACATTCTCTAGACTATATACAGTCGACTTGCAAAAACAACACAAACACTCAAGGGGTACTTGTCCATGTGGAAAACTTGCGTTCTATTCACAACACTTCAATAGAAATTCCATTAAAACTTTGAACAATCTGGAAAATGGTGGTACCTAAACGTAGGATTGTGTGTGAACTTATGTCTTGTCAGTTTTAAGCTCAAGTTCAGATTAAATAACTGAAAACCTTTTATCTTTAATTTTTAATTTTAAAACTGAACGGGCCAAGTAATAAAACGGCGATCTGTAATTTCATAGAAATTTCAAATTTTGAAAAAATAATTATTTAACACATTCACACATCAAACAATACCATTCAACCTTCTGGGAATCTCAGTCATGCCCATGTTTAACTTTTTCCTAGGGTGGCATGCATTCTTATTGCCCGGTTCGCAAAAATCCATCACAGCCATCTCAACCCATTACTATTACATGTTCACAAATCAAATATGTATCGTTACTATCCAACTCGACTTAGTTCGTACTTAATGAATATCACACTGAATGTTAATCGCTTGGCAAACTTATGTTGCTGATACTTCAGGAGATATCCTCAATTATATTTGCCCGAAGAATCTAATTGGTATTTAGTGAGGTAAGTTTAGATGAGAATTCTAGTCGACCTGTCGAATGTCACACTACCATACATCAAACATGAAACCCTAAAACGGCAACGGCGACATTGCCAACTCAGATGTGGAGATGCTGTGATGTTGTAGCAGACAAGGTGGACAAGAGACCTTGAGCCCTCATCATGACAGAGTCTATGGTTGAATGGATTTCCGGCAACATCTCTAGTCGAAAATGGAACCACCACCTTCTGCAGATAAGAGAAATTTGAAGAACGAAAAAAATCAGTGATCAAATTCTAGAATTTTAGCGAGAAATTTCTAATGTTCTCAAATGACTGGTAGACATAAAGATCCTTTCTTCAGTGATCAATAAAAACCATCAGAAAATTTGAACTTGTTTGATTTTTACAGGATTTCGATAAACACGGTGAATAATGCCAGTCTTTTCTTGACAGTTTGGCTCAAAGTTTGATGTCTTTATTTGCTGCTGGACATCCGTACGAAAAAGGGAAAAACAAAGCTGCTGCATCAGATGTAAACAAACAGGTCTTCAACTTATTCCCCACAAATTTAAGACAAAATGCTGGTTTTTTTTAACAAAGTCTTTGAAATATGACTAAAAATTGCGAGACTCTAAATGTTTGTGATCTTCAGACATTGTACTCCTTTAAAACTGATGTCATTCTTACCTTTAGCTGCCGCTGCCACTTTCTTCTCGTCAGCGGCCTTTCTCAGCTCCTTCAATCTCAGCAATTCTCCCTCGCTCTTTTCCAGGCTCTCTGTTGCAAAAAAAGGGGAAGAATATAGTATACGATCACAATACACATATTTTGCTGGAGTCTTTGAAACTTCACAGATCTTCAAGTTTTTTCTGAAGATTACTCTCAACTTATTTCAAAACATTGATTTATGATAAAAAAAATATACTCACTGTTTCTTCTAGAGCCATAGGCTATACCAAGGAACAATGCCGAATATCTTGAAAACTGAAGAATAAAGGAAGAAACATTCTGCACATAAACATTATGATCTTTACTTTTAAAATCATGAATATAACACTGAAGATCAGTTGCGATGTGACAGCTGTTTTATGTAAAATCTCTCAACCGATAGTACTTGAATTGTACTTTTTTCAGTGATTCCAACCTCGTAGCCAGAGAATTTAGGGGTGTATTATTACTCCACAATTTTCTCAGTAGATTGGAATGCGGGCAATGTTGCGAAAAGTACAGTGCAACAATACCGCTGCCCTAGTGACTAGTGGGGATAGGCCTACAGGCTACAGTAGCATTAAATTCTCTAATGTCAACATGCCATGGTCAATAAATGTATTTTTCGAAGTAAAAAAAAGAAGTCAAAAAAAAAAAAGTTTCCCACTTTATCATTACAAAGGTGGCGTTTACCGTTTAATACATTCTGGTGAAAATCATTGATAGACTCTAGAGGGCGCCCTCTTGCAATCTTAAGCGATGGATGGCAGTTTTCGGATGTTTTACTGGCCTTTTCAACCACCAAATGTACTTAAAAGAGGCCAATAATAGGCCATATGGATTCTTATAATGACAAAGAATATACTGTTTGTTTTGTAGAGTTTCCCACGTCTTCGAAATGAGTCTTTCAAAGCATATTTACCTTGATTAGCGGCGAAACTGCAACCGGTACGGGAGCCATCTTGGAAATTTGCGCTGGTGCTCGCGACATGGGCGGCTTTTCACTAAAATCCTTCAGGGTACCAGCCAGCACCGGACTTGATGTGGTCGGGTTCCAAGTTGTACACTGTACAATCGTTACGAAGAACGGGAGGGCACAATACACGTACCAGACATCGTACGATATGAATCATTTTCATTTCAACAACCGCGAACTGCAGGGCGCCTGTCATTGTGAAATAATGGATTTTATCTTGGACAAACCATGGACAAACTGTCCCACTTTCTGCTGAGAATTTGAACACTTTGGAAGACCACAATGGAACAGCTTCTTCTCGTCATCCTTGGCGTCACTTTGACGCCGTTTATGTTTCTGGTTTTGCTGATCGTTGTGCCGGGTTGTTTTGGATTGTCGCTCGGATTACGGCACCTGTACATCAACTTTTTACTTCGGATGTTTGAGCTTGGAAACAAAATCTCACAAACGCCGACTGCAAAGGAAACACACTTTGATTTTGGGGATGAGGTTAATAAGATTTCTTCTTATAAAGCGTATTTATATCACCTCTTAAATCATATTTTAATTGATTAAATTTAGATAGGCCTAGTTTCTTGTAAATCCTTTAACTTTTGGAAATGATTTTTTTCAGAGTACAAATTAATGAGTAACATTGATTTATATTCATGGAAAAAAGTGTTGCATTAACCTCCCGCCACTTTTTTCTTCACATATTATCTCAATTAAGGTCAGTCATTGCAAAAATGACATTGATAATAAGGCATGAATCTGGGACTTAGAAGCATTTCCAATTTTGTTAGGAAATACTTTGAAACTTTTCTTGACTCTCCTTAATCTTTGTACACAACCGCTGAAGTGGCATCAAGTTGCAATAGTTTTTCCAAAAATACTTGTGAAATGTGAGATTTTTCTTGTTTTATAATTGATAATAATCTACTTACATGTACTTAAGGCAAAATAAAAAAAAAAAACATGTTTAGCGTCCTGCCTCTTTGACAAAAAGGAAGGAGGAGGCCCTTTTTTTTTTTTTTTTTTCTTTTCAAAATGGCCGCCTGACACATTTTTCAAGGCAACGCGGCCGGGCTATTTTTCAAGATGGTTACCAGCTTTTTTCAAAATGGCCGCCACTTGGACTCATTGACTATTTCCACAGCTTTATACACGGTATAAAAGTCTAAAAATACGATTTCTTTCGTCAGAGATCGTTAAAATTTATCAATTTTTGTCTTTTAAAAAAAAAAAGGAGGCGGCCTCTAAAAAGGAAGCGGGCGGGGACGCTAAACATGTTTGTTTTTTTACTTCGCCTTAAACATGTTTCCTACTTTTGAGGGCACTTGCTTCCATTTTTTTTTCATGTTTATGCCACCTACAAAATGAAACTTTTCAAGACTGTAAGTTGTCAGCTAGTGTTAATTTTAACTTTAAAAAAAATTCTATTTGTTGTACTAGCATGTACATGATGTAGGTTTGCATTGCCACTAAATGCCTTACTCCAAATTCGGAATCCACAAAAATGAAAATAACATTGTATATTTTTCAATATATAACTATTTTTTACCCCCTGAAAGTATTCATTTCGTATATTTCTATATTATTATTAAATACAAATTTTTCCTCAGTAGTTTTGGAGTGTTATGCCAATATATTTATTTCTTGTTTAATATTTAATATGAACAAATGCTGTATTTTTTAAAAATCAATTCCTTTTTTTGCTAACAGGAGGAAAATGACGATGAAGTTGAAAAAAGTGATGACGAGAAGACAGTTGTGCCAAATGTAAACTCTGCCAATGGTGGGTGTAGATAGCAAATCGCACGATTTGCATTAATGTTGGTTTTTCGGAAATCATAATTTAAAAATTGAAATGAGCAAAGCAGAATTATGTAGAATGTTTAACTGGTTTATGGAAATGTCAGATTACATGGGCAAAAGACTTCCTGCGATCATTGAAAATATTGGGCGCATTATTCGTTAAAAAGTATACAGGTACTTTTGCATGTACATTGTACAATGTACCAGCACAATTTAGTTAAATAGTGTGATAAGATTCTGATATTAGTATAAGATATGGAAAGTCTGTTATGTACATGTACATGTACATGTAGTTCGTGTTTTGAGATTATGTGTGGATTTGTAACATTGATTGCAACTCGGGATGTTCTGTATTTAATTTTTCAAACGAAGAGTTGGAAAAACAATCATTCCCATGCTCAAGTTTGCATACTTGTAAGTTGACATATGCGTACCAAGATTCAGGCAGTGCAAAATTATTTTCCCTTTTCAAAATGGCCAATGCTGGCTATACATGGGTCAATATCAGCAGTGTATCTTCTCAGTCACATCAGCTCTTAGATTGCGCCACCGGTTTTATAACCCTGTTTGAGTTTGATTGAATTAATGGATACAAAAACAAAGACTATTGTTTAAATACTAATTTGAAAGCTGAAATGAGAATCATTGAAAACCACTGCCACAGAAATAGTGCTTTATAATATTTAACCCCCCTGCTGTTTAAAAGGTCACCAACAGTCAAAGGTTCCTTCCACTTCCCCTGGTATACTTTTAACACACCAATGAGTCACTTGACCAATTTTTACCAATTTTGACCCAAGTAACAACATGGCTCAGAATGCATGTTTGCATAGAAGAGTTGAAACATGTAGACATGAGTACATTTAACCCTAACCGCCCTGAATCCTCCAAAATCCTTTTTGCAAATTGGAGGAATTTGCAGGATTGAGGTTTCATGGCAAAAGTGCGTTGCTGATTTCGGAGTACGCACTGTGTCAAGGTCTTGGGCCGGACCTTGTGTTGTTTATGCTCAGCCGTGCATAAATTTAGTCCTTGATTATACTTGACATCCTCCGCACTTCTCCAGGATGTCCCTGCCTCTGCCTCGGCCTATTGACTGTCGTAGCCGGAGGATTTTGCAGGATTCAGGCAGTGGTCACCTCTCCATGTACCATATTCAAGAAATAACAGAGGAATTTGCAGGATTGAGGCTATATGCTATTTTTCCATGAGGCCAATTGGAGGATTTTGCAGGATTGAGGCTACATCCTAGCAAAAAGGCCTAGGGAGTTGGGGATTTATATAATCATTGCAATTTTGATTAATTTTGTCAACCAATATTTTTTTGTCATCTCTTTTCTGTGTAGAACTGATTCATAAGGAATCCACTAAGCATCTGGCTCACGGCATCAAGCAGAGGGTCACCAACGGCAAGCTCAACTGGTCCCCTGAAGAGTTCCAGCTGTCGGACGTCTGCTACTTCACCAAGAAGGGGGTCGAGGTGAGTCTCCGCCCACCTGCCATTGTTTCCACTTTCCACGTCCTTCCAAATGATCATTCTGTGATTAATGGACTTGTGATTTACTTGTGAAGGAGTCAACTACATCAATGTGTGTGGTAGCTCAGTAGTGGGTCTGAATTATGTTGGATTTTAGAGAAGCCCCTTTAACCCTAACTCCCTAGGCCTTTGTGCTAGGATGTCGCCTCAATCCTGCAAAATCCTCCATTTGGCCTCATGGAAAAATAGCACATAGCCTCAATCCTGCAAATTCCTCCATTATTTCTTGAATATGGTCCGTGGAGGGGTGACCACTGCCTGAATCCTGCAAAATCCTGCTGCAGTGACTGTCAATATGTTGAGGCTTGGCCAGTGACATCCTGGAGCAGTACGGAGGATTTCAAGCATAATTCAGGCCTATATTTTTGCATGGCTGAGCAAAAACAACACAAAGTCCGGCCCAAGACCTTGACAAAGTGCATCCTACAAAATCAGTAACGCACTTTTGCTATGTAACCTCAATCCTCCAAATTCCTCCACTTTAGCAAAGAGGATTTTGGAAGGATTTAGGGCGGTTAGGGTTAAACTTTTTTCTTCAGAGCGACATAATGCTTTACGATGGGTTTGAGATTTTGATACTTTTTTTTGGTAGTTTTGAGTTTAATTACCTGTAAAAAGATATTAAAATGTGCCAAACTATATTTGTGATCTTTCTATATTGTCCAATTTTTTTGGACTTAAAAATGTCTTTGTTTAATCCTTTTGACAGGCTATTATTGACGATGAGGTGACAAAGCGTTTCACTGCAGAGGGTGAGTGCACAAATTTATCTTCAACTTTCCGAGATAAAATTAAACTTTACCACAAACACTGCATCTTGTTGTCAAAGTATTCAAATGCCCCATATGCTCAGGGGAGGATTCATTCTGATAAATAGAGAGTATCATCTTTATTTGCTGAGAATAATCATTTGACATTTCTGATAACATTACCTATTTTCATACATGTAGATTATTAATCTCATTATCAGTTGCTTATCATTGGCCTGTCCCATTTGTTGTCTTGTTTCTTGCACTGCCTTTTCAGTAAACTTTGGGTTTTTTTTTATTTCGAGTGTTTGTTTTGTCTGACCTTGCTCACCTGTGAATCTGTTCTCAGACAATTTTGGGTTTTTTTCTGTTTGTAGAAATGATAACCTTTCCTTTTGAATATTTATTTAACCATTTTTGACTGAACTTTGATTGAAGCAGTCCTGAATGTTCCATGGGCTTTGTACTTCAATCTCATAAATGTAAAATATGGTTTTGTCTAAGAAACCCAAATATAGTTGATTTGATCCGAGTTGCTCGGGGTTTTTTTGTTTTGTTTTGTTTTTGTTTTTTTCAAAGGCTTCAACATAAAATGCTTTTTTTTGCAACTCCCAGTACAGGACCTGAATACATAAACTACAGCAAGTTATCAATAACAAATTGAATAGATAATCTGAGATGACACACATATCTGCTTAAGGTTAATCCCCAGATTTGACGATAATAGTTTTCTGACATTGTTCTTGATAATTCCATGGATGTACCTCAGAATCCAACATTCCACTTATGTAACTTTGATAAATATGAGATTTTCAGTAGATTTGAGATAATGACTACCCACCAAGATGAAGTGTTTACTCAAGATGAAGTTACATTTGTAGTAGCCATGTGGTTCTTCGTTTTACATGTACATGTACATGTAGTTGCATGGAAATACATTGTGTAGGCTAGCTGAATATTGTATTCTGCATAATGTAATGTCAGTTTTATGTCACAATATTTAAGTAATAATACTTTCAAATAGGACATTTGTAATGATATTCAATTTCCTCTGAAAATTTCAAGTGCATGTTTTTCAGAACAACATCTCACCGAAGATATTTCTTGTCACACGATGCAATCGCAAATTTACATGCAGTAGCATAGCCGGGGGTTTGCAGAGTGGCAGATTACAATGGAATGGAAACTTGAAAAGCAAAATCAGGACGCTGATAGAAGCAAAATCTGGACGGTGAAAATGGGTTAAACGGGACGAAAATTCTATTTTGCAACGTGCAAATAAAATCTGGCTTTGCTCCTGCTGACACGTACTCTTGCATGTATTGCAGACTTTGCCGTGCGAACCTTCAAGTTGTAGGTTTTTGATAAAAGAAAGGAATTGTAAATTGTGTTAAATTTCAAGAATCCATTAACAATCTGAGGGGTTTGAAGTGAGGACGTTCAGGTTCATTTTCCGGTCAAGTTGGCAATATGATGTAAAAGTGATGATCAAACAAAGAGACAAGATATATTTATACATGTAATACAACTGTGATTTAGTGGGCATGACATGTGACTCAATTCTCATCTCCAGGTTTCTGATATAAGTAGCGTTTTTTTTTTTTTTCATTTGGCAGCTGAGTGACAAAAATTGTATTTTTCATACGTGTCTCAAAAGGCTGAACTTAAACAAAGATACAGTGCAAAGAAAATGGTGTTCAAAACACATACATGTACATGTACATGCACCTTCACAAGCCAAAGATATTGAAGTCCAAGCAGCGTGGCCTTCGGTCCTGCTGTTTACCTTGCTGTTTACCTTGCTACACAGCTTGGTGACTTGGGAACCGTTGGAAATCCTTGACCACAATTTATTACCGATAAAATACTCCATCGTCTACATTCTGCAACTGAGGCCATGAATACAACCCTGGGCTAAATTTCACTGGAGCTGCATCTGTCGGGCAAACCCTAACCTGACCTAAAGCTACAAAGTACTACTAAGAAGTAACCTGTGCATGCATTTCTTTCCATACAAGTGTGCAGAACACATGAAGTATTCTCTGATATTTGGTACTTGACCCCCATAGAGCAAATTCTGACACAAACTTTAAACTTTTTTTTTTAAATGAGACATTTAAAGGAAACTGACTAGTTACATTATAATGTTTTTTCAAAGTTGAACAAAGAAATTGCTTGGAGTGGGGTTTGGATATCGCTCTAGTCAATTCCTTGGTTCAACTTTGAAAAACAAATCTTGAACAAAAGTTTATGAAAGATATTTTTGGTGTATTTATTGATCTTCAGTATATGCCTAACATTGTATAGAAGCTAATTTTCCAGAACTGGATTTATAGGGGAATACAGGATGTTCGTAATCTAAAAAGGAAGACACGTATCAAACCAATGGAACTTGTTTACCCTCTTTCGACATGTACATGTGTGAATTTTCCAGGTCAACTTCAAGACAATTTGATCCAAGGACGAAGGGTAGGGGATAAGTGGCTATATTGTGTTTATTTGCTGGGGGTGTTTGTCACCTCTGCCGTCATCACCCCAATCCACCACTTCTAACCCCCCCCCCCCCAAAAAAAAACTAGATAAATAAACAAAATAATAATAATAAATTAATAAATAAATAACCTCAAAGTAATAACAAATGTTCTTTTTCTCTCATTTTTTCCCTACACATTAGAGTTACCATCGTGGAATTTGCTGACGAGAACCAGCATGCGTTACCAGTACCTCAAGTAAGTTTTCACACAAGAATGTAGTTTGCCTCTTACCGGTACTTAGGCCAAAAAAAAAAAGTCTCCGGTTTCTGGTATGGAGCTTGCCCAAAAAGTGGTGCGGCGACGCGGCTTTTTTTTTTTTTTTTTACCTGATTTTTTTGCTTCAAATGTCGGCTGATGACAGCAAATGGTGCCCGACTAAACTTAGTGCAAATATATGGGAGTCCAGAGAGGCCACATAAAGCTTATTCTCGACCATAAACCAATCTAAAAACACGTTAAAATTGTGCAGCAGCAGGATTCCAGTCAAACCAGTGAGTTTGGCGGTTTTGAGACATCATCTTTCATTGAAAATTTTTTTTTTCATTTTGCCGACGCACATGGCTACGGCGACACGCGCGCATACCAGAAACCGGAGACTTTTTTTTTTGGCCTTAGCATTTGTTTTTTTGTTTTTGTAAGAATGTGTAACCAACTGGGCATACCCCCCCCCCCCTTTATTCATGAAGGTCATCTGTAGAACATGCCTAGTTTGAAACTTACTAAAGCAGTATTCAGCTCTGGAGTTACCTTGAAATTCTTCCATCTTTATATTCTGTAAAGTTTTTTAAAAAGTCGAGCCAACAATGATTGGCAATACAGACTACCCTATACATGTTAGTATCCACATATTTCACTTAACATTATATTCTCAATGCATTGTATATGGAGTTATTTATTAACCTACGACCATGAGTGCTGGTTAATGGTTCATTTCCTTCACAGTTATTTTTAGTAAATCAAATATCACAACACAAAAGAATCGTTGATTGTTATTTCCTAACTGGAAATGGTTTTCAAAATCAGTGAAGTGGTCTTTCGAAATCTGCATTGATAGGCTTGCACATGTGCCAAGGGCAAACTACATGTACATATACATGTACCATCATACAGGACAAAAACAATATTTTTTTTAAATTCATAGTTTCCTATTTAAAGGGAATATACAACATTTGCTTTTGCTGTAATTTTCAGAAATGAGTGGATTTGGGGGGTTAGAGTTTTATAGCAACTTGTTTGAAGTTTTGTGTTTATAGATGCTGGAAAAACCAAGAAAAACAATCATGTTCATGTAGTCTGGTTCCCTGACCACACTTAAATTGAAAAGGAGAAATTTACGGACGTCAGGGAATTGTAAGGTCAGGGAACCAGTCTAGCTGGCTTGTACAGGTTCATAGGTGTGTAATCGATTGCAAACAAAATATGCTAAATTGGGGGCAGTATTTGAAAAAAAAAAAATTTCTAACGCTGGTCGGCCGATACAAAAATTGATACAAAAACACCACTTTTCTTTAAAAGTGTCAGCACACCAGGTGCCATGATTTTAGAGGATGCTTTAGACTGTCATTCACTAACAGTCCAGCAAATTATTTCATAACAATTCAATACTTTTGTTTTTGATGTTTGCAAATGTTGTCAAAAACTTAGGTTTCTTTTCATAATTGTTTGTATTTGTTCTTCATTAATCTTCATTCATTAATATCTTCTTTGCAGTATTCGTCTGACGTTGCTCTGGATGGCAGGTTTTGTGTTTCGATACTTTTTGCTTTTACCTGTTAGGTGAGCAAATATGTGCGTCTCCCCCCCCCCCCCCCCCCCCCCACACACACACACACATTTTCACTCAAATTAAACAGACATAACAATTACTAGAGTACAATATACATGTATGCACTTAGAATATATTTTATAGAACAATATTTGTTCTTACAAAATGATCAGTAAATGTCTGATATCTGACATCTAAGTTCAGTCTCTGCACCGTTATCTCATTAGCTTCTCTGAAAGTTCAACTTTGCAATATCTTTAAACCAAATTTAGTTCTGTGACCTTTTTGATAACTCATAGCTCAAGGTCACTGACAGGCCAACTTGTCATCAAAAAAGATCCGGAACAATCCGGTTTGACATCCTTTTAGCGATCAGCATAGAAATTACTGTACAAGATGAAAGATTTGTTTGAAATGTTTAAAGGGTTCATGAAATGAAAAATCTCAATAATGCATTTTGTGCGGATATCTGTGCACCTGATGTGTGTGGAAATAAGGGGACTCCAGAGTTGGCACATTGAGTGTTATTTCTCTAAAATCTTTCATGCACTGTCTGTGCCTTTCTTATCAACCATGTCTGAACATGAACAGTAGGTGTCGCTAAACACAAGACCTCTAAAACTCCACAGATACCAATTTTTACTGTTCCTCGCAAAACATTTACTGTAAACCTTTAAACTTTGAGAAAAGGAAAGGATGTGAGGTATCATGCCTTAGAGAAAAAAGACTACTTTTCGGGAAAAAAAACAACATTTTCCCGGAATGGAATATTAACCCTTTAAGTCACTGTAGCACCCGGAACCGCCCTGCCTATTACTCACTGTAGCCCCCCTAACTGCCCTGCCTATTACTCCCTGTAATGCCCAAAACCACCCTGCCTATTACTCCCTGTAGCGCCCCTAACTGTCCTGCCTATTACTCCCTGTAGCGCCCAAAACCGCCCTGCCTATTACTCACTGTAGCGCCCAAAACCACCCTGCCTATTACTCCCTGTAGCCCCCCTAACTGCCCTGCCTATTACTCCCTGTAGCGCCCAAAACCACCCTGCCTATTACTCCCTGTAGCGCCCCTAACTGTCCTGCCTATTACTCACTGTAGCGCCCAAAACCACCCTGCCTATTACTCCCTGTAGCCCCCCTAACTGCCCTGCCTATTACTCCCTGTAGCGCCCAAAACCACCCTGCCTATTACTCACTGTAGCCCCCCTAACTGCCCTGCCTATTACTCCCTGTAATGCCCAAAACCACCCTGCCTATTACTCCCTGTAGCGCCCCTAACTGCCCTGCCTATTACTCCCTGTAATGCCCAAAACCACCCTGCCTATTACTCCCTGTAGCCCCCCTAACTGCCCTGCCTATTACTCCCTGTAGCGCCCAAAACCACCCTGCCTATTACTCCCTGTAGCCCCCCCTAACTGCCCTGCCTATTACTCCCTGTAATGCCCAAAACCACCCTGCCTATTACTCCCTGTAGCCCCCCTAACTGCCCTGCCTATTACTCCCTGTAGCGCCCAAAACCACCCTGCCTATTACTCACTGTAGCCCCCCTAACTGCCCTGCCTATTACTCCCTGTAATGCCCAAAACCACCCTGCCTATTACTCCCTGTAGCGCCCCTAACTGCCCTGCCTATTACTCCCTGTAATGCCCAAAACCACCCTGCCTATTACTCCCTGTAGCCCCCCTAACTGCCCTGCCTATTACTCCCTGTAGCGCCCAAAACCACCCTGCCTATTACTCCCTGTAGCCCCCCCTAACTGCCCTGCCTATTACTCCCTGTAATGCCCAAAACCACCCTGCCTATTACTCCCTGTAGCCCCCCTAACTGCCCTGCCTATTACTCCCTGTAGCGCCCAAAACCACCCTGCCTATTACTCCCTGTAGCGCCCCTAACTGTCCTGCCTATTACTCACTGTAGTGCCCGAAATCGCCCTGCCTATTACTCCCTGTAGCCCCCCTAACTGCTCTGCCTATTACTCCCTGTAGCGCCCAAAACCGCCCTGCCTATTACTCACTGTAGCGCCCAAAACCGCCCTGCCTATTACTCACTGTAGCCCCCCTAACTGCCCTGCCTATTACTCACTGTAGCGCCCAAAACCGCCCTGCCTATTACTCCCTGTAACGCCCAAAACCACCCTGCCTATTACTCCCTGTAGCACCCAAAACCACCCTGCCTATTACTCCCTGTATTGCCCAAAACCACCCTGCCTATTACTCCCTGTAGTGCCCAAAACCGCCCTGCCTATTACTCACTGTAGCCCCCCTAACTGCCCTGCCTATTACTCCCTGTAGTGCCCAAAACCACCCTGCCTATTACTCCCTGTAGCGCCCAAAACCACCCTGCCTATTACTCACTGTAGCCCCCCTAACTGCCCTGCCTATTACTCCCTGTAGTGCCCAAAACCACCCTGCTTATTACTCCCTGTAGCGCCCGAAACCGCCCTGCCTTTTACTCCCTGTAGCGCCCAAAACCACCCTGCCTATTACTCCCTGTAGTGCCCAAAACCGCCCTGCCTATTACTCACTGTAGCCCCCCTAACTGCCCTGCCTATTACTCCCTGTAGTGCCCAAAACCACCCTGCCTATTACTCCCTGTAGCGCCCGAAACCACCCTGCCTATTACTCACTGTAGCCCCCCTAACTGCCCTGCCTATTACTCCCTGTAGTGCCCAAAACCACCCTGCCTATTACTCCCTGTAGCGCCCGAAACCGCCCTGCCTTTTACTCCCTGTAGCGCCCAAAACCACCCTGCCTATTACTCCCTGTAGCGCCCAAAACCACCCTGCCTATTACTCCCTGTAGCGCCCAAAACCGCCCCTGAAACCGCCCAAGCACTCTGTGTTTTTTTTGGTTTTACAGAGAATAAACACAATGTAATACAATGTAATCCAATGTGAAATTAATACTTGTTGCTAATAGGTTTTTCTGAATTTCTTTCATTGAATATTGAGCCTTTGTTCATTTTCGCACACTTGTCTCGGCAGATTGGCCGTCACCATCATCTGTATGCTGTACCTGTTGGTGTCCTCTGCTTTCCTCGGATATCTCCCAGATTCAAGGTACTTCACTAGGAATAATTCAATTTCTTTCTCATAACGTGGTCTTAAACTGTTAGAATTGTGGTAGAAATTTTCACAGAGACATGTTCCTATCCAGTGATTGTGGTAATTGCTGAGATTTCTTCTTTTTTTATTGATTGCATTTAGATTGAAACAGATAGTCAACAAGTACAGCTCCCTGACACTCCATCGCATGTTCTGCCGATGCTTCTCAGCCATTATCACATTCCATAACAAGTAAGTCTTTCTTTTATACAATTACCCCCCTTTCCCGTCCTGCCACGCCCCCTTTTGATTCTGTTTTGAACCCCTCCCAAAATTTTCACTCCTGTTAACTGTGAGAGATCTTTCATTATAATGTCATTCTTTTAAGTATTCAATTTACCATCATGTGGAGACAAGCATAAACTTGTCATGCAAAATTAGCATAGCAAATGGCCAGTATAAGTTTCTGAGTTGAATTCCAACGATGTTGTTCAACAGTTTTCCCTCATGTTTTTCAGGACACCCCTCTAGCTTATATTACGGTATGTCCAGTCTCGCGAGTGTCGTAAACAACTCCTTATATGGAGATGGGCATGCATCGCGCCTACTGCGCGATGTGGCGCACAACGCAGCTGTGCCAGTGTATTGCGAATTTTGGACTATGAAATTCTGATTCACTGGTAGTGTTGCGCATGCCTACGTGAAGATTGTGAACGTTCAACCAATAAAACGGTCAAATGCACCGGATTTCATAGGAGTCCAAATTTCATGTGACACTGGGGAAAAGTGTTTAAGACCAGCCAGCCATGTCTTTATCAACCGTTTAAAACCGACCACATTACGGCTTCTCGACCAGTAGGAATGGGTAAACTATCTTAGGTATTTATGAACGGATGATTCAAGCGATTCAGTAGATATTCTGTCCAAAAATATTTTTTTACAATTAATTTTTATATTTAAGAATACCAAAGTGTACAAAGGTAGTGCAGCATGCATTGTATTGCGCCAGTGCATCAGTAATCTTTTCATGATTCCAAACTCATATTATCAGACATCTTCTGTTACCATGGTTACAGAGAAAACCGAGCCAAGGGAGGGATTTGTGTGGCCAATCACACCTCACCAATCGACATAGCCATCTTGAGTTTCGACAATGTCTACGCATTTGTAAGTATTTTTATTTTTTTTGGCTTGGGTAAAAACTGTGTGTAACGAATTTGGACATGGCCTAAATCAGATCACTAAATGCATGTATTTATACAATTTGGTATATTAAGATGTGAATTAAAAATTCAACAGAACCCCAGGAAAATTGAGTTTCCCCAGTCAATTTATAGATTTGCCAGCCAAATTTATTATGAATCATCCATTTTTTTGGTGAAATTTTAGCTACTAGCCCTGTAGTCTAGTAGATTTTTACCTTAACTTTGAACCATGTAAGCTATAAAAGAATTCACGTTTTGTCACTTTCTATCTTTTGTTTTTTACCCCTCAGCCGAGAGGCTCGAGGGGTATTGTCATCGCCTAGGGCGTCCGTCCGTCCGGATGTATGTGTGTCTGTCCGTCCGTCCGTCCGGGCAGCTTAGTTTCCGGATGATAACTTGAGTTAGAAATGTTGTTTGGGGTTGTAACTTCGGTAGGGGGTTGCCCTTTGGAGTAGGCAAGTTGGGATTGGTTTTGAGGTCAAAAGGTCAAAGGTCAAGGTCACCGTGGTGAGTTAAATGTAAATGGTTTCCGGATGATAACTTGAGTTAGAAATGAGATTTTGGTGTCTAACTTTGGAAGAGGGTTGCCCTTGGGAGAAGGCAAGTTGGGATTGGTTTTGGGGTCAAAAGGTCAAAGGTCTAGGTCAGCATGGTGAGATAAAGGTAAATGGTTTCCGGATGATAACTTGAGTTAGAAATGAGATTTTGGTGTCTAACTTTGATAGGGGGTTGCCCTTGGGAGTAGGCAAGTTGGGATTGGTTTTGGGGTCAAAAGGTCAAAGGTCAAGGTCACCGTGGTGAGTTAAATGTAAATGGTTTCAGGATGATAACTTGAGTTAGAAATGAGATTTTGGTGTCTAACTTTGGTAGAGGGTTGCCCTTGGGAGTAGGCAAGTTGGGATTGGTTTTGGGGTCAAAAGGTCAAAGGTCAAGGTCACCATTGTGAGTTAAAGGTAAATGGTTTCCGGATGATAACTTGAGTTAGAAATGCGATTTTGGTGTCTAACTTTGGAAGAGGGTTCCCCTTGGGAGAAGGCAAGTTGGGATTGGTTTTGGGGTCAAAAGGTCAAAGGTCAAGGTCAGCATGGTGAGATAAAGGTAAATGGTTTCCGGATGATAACTTGAGTTAGAAATGAGATTTTGGTGTCTGACTGAGGTAGGGGTTTGCCCTTGGGTACAGGCAAGTTGGGATTGGTTTTGGGGTCAAAAGGTCAAAGGTCAAGGTCACCGTGGTGAGTTCAATGTAAATGGTTCCGAATGATAACTTGAGTTAGAAATGAAATGTTGGTGTCTAACTTCGGTTTCTATTCTTAGATTGGCCAGCTGCACAGCGGTTTTATGGGGATGGTCCAGCGTGCCATGAGTCGCACGGGTACCGACCACATCTGGTTTGAGCGGTCCGAGATGCGCGACAGGAAGAAAGTCACAGAGAGGTGGGTGGGTTACCAGGCAAAATTTGTTGGTGCCCGAGGGCCGATGGTGTCATACAATAGACCCTTCATTCCCAACAATCAAACAGTGGCCATTGACTAAAAGATCATGATATTTGGTCAGGTGACCACAGTCTAAGATCATGATATATGGTCAGGTGACCACAGTCTAAGCTCTTGCTATTTGGTCAGGTGACCACAGTCTAAGATCATGATATTTGGTCAGGTGACCACAGTCTAAGATCATGATATTTGGTCAGGTGACCACAGTCAAAGATCATGATATTTGGTCAGGTGACCACAGTTTCTTGATCCAACTCCGTCACAAGCACTTTGAGAAATGAACGTTGGCATGGCTTATGGTCAGTTCTGGATTGGGCATTAATCAAGGCCTCCAATTTTTCCCTTTCCATTTGTGACCTGTCATCACGAAATGAGCCTGAAGTTGTAAACCGCAATTTTGAATTTACAGTGGGGCAAAGCCAACATGTGTAGGGGTAGTCAAACTTTAGTTTTTAGATAATCATCAATCTCTTTTTCCTCTTCCTTTCATCAATTATAGAGTTCTATTAAATATCTACAAAACTATTTTTTACCCATTTTATTAATTGCCTTTGTCGTGTCCACAAAGTTTTGGGGAAAAATAATACTTGAAGCCACCAGATCCCAGAAGGAAGTCTAAACCCTTCCTGAGAGACTTCATGAATAAATGTTTTACTTTATTCGTCCTGCAGGTTGCGAGAGCATGTGAACGATCCCAACAAGTTACCCATCTTGATCTTTCCTGAAGGTGGGTTGTAATGTTAAACACACTCTTGTTTCCCAATCGGTTTTACCACACTACCTGTTTATTTAAGTACCGTACTTTATTTTTTCCATGAGCCTTTGCCCAGTTGCATTCCTCCAAAGCCAAGATACTTTGCACAAATTGATATGAACACAGATACTGGAATTTGTATTCTTGTGGAGTCATTTCTTTGTTCTTGTGTACTCAAATTTTAGAGTTTGAAAGTGTAGTTTCAAAATGCTCCTTTTTTTGACCAGAATGAATTCCCTGGGCTGAAATTGGGACTAAATATCCCTTACATAAAATACTTCAATTTGCGACGGATCAACACACCTTAGAAATTCCCAGTTTTTGAGTAAAATCCATTTATCTATTTCGTGATAACCTTGTGGAGACGTATTCACCTATAGAAATTGTACTGTGGAGACATATACAATCTTTTGTTCCCTATTATGCACATGTCTCCACAGGGTACCGTGTACCAGATCGTGCATCATTCGCATGTACTGGACCAGCCAGCACACCTAGTCTGTTACTCTGTTCTTCCTTGTCGCTCATGATGAGGCCACACTGCACCATAAACACAGTTCTTCCTGAGGAGGCCACACTCTGAACTGTGTATATTTGGTCGCTATACATTTCTTTTGATAAATCCTCATAACTTCTACGTATCCTTCCTTGCATTTGTATTCTGATGGGAAAACATTGAACTTGCATATTTCATGTCCACAGGAACGTGCATAAACAACACCTCTGTCATGCAGTTTAAAAAAGGCAGTTTTGAGGTCGGCGGCACCATCTGGCCGGTAGCTATAAAGGTAGGCATGATTTTTGGCCTCTCCAATTTTTATCAATTTTATATTGTTATATTGTTGCCAACTACGTACCAGTTTAGCCACAGTGTCGTAGACGGCTAGTTGAGTCCATCACAAGTCCGAATAAAAAGTAAATCCCAAGTCCTTTAACAAATCCTGAGCCCAAGTTCACGGCGCTGCTAACAGATCCTCTGTATATTTCATGGAGAGGGCGGCAGTCAGCACAGCAGAAGGCACGCTAAACCCCAGAGAAAACAGTTGCTTAAATCAGTGACGTAACAATAGAAATCTCCATGCGCAAGCAACCGTTTGCACATCCGCGCCATGAAATAGTGCTTAGCACAATTTTCTGCTGTAGTAAGCCATGAAATTAGGCCCTTTTAAGAATCATGCGAGACATATGTAGGCTAGCAAGATATGTGACGGGGGGAACCTCCTCCCCCCCCCCCCCCCCCGCCCTCTTTTGTGTTGGTCATTGTGTTCCAAAAACTCAGGAATTCTTTTGAGATATCTGGGGGATGTGTTAGGTAACAATAGTCTAGGGTGTGTATAGGGAGATAGAGGGGGGGGGTACCCCTCTGTCACGTATGGGGCTGGGTATACTGCGACAAGTACCTGAGACAACTTGCCTACCAAGGATAAGCTTGACAGCATTTTTTTCCCTGGATATCAGTTGACTCCTTACTCATTTTGAGTGTTTGGTTTGGCCTTTTTGTTTGTCTCCAGTACAATTCCAACTTTGGGGATCCGTTCTGGAACAGCAGCAAGTATTCAATGGTCCGGTACCTGCTCATGATGCTGACTAGCTGGGCCATTGTGTGCGATGTCTGGTATCTGCCTCCCATGGTCAGAGGGGTAAGCCACCAAGACGTCTCAGTGATGGTGATATACACAACTAAATGTATTCATCATTTTCCAAGTCTCCAAATCATTCAGCACATTTCATTTATTCAAGTACTTTTCTTCTTTATTCTATAAGATTTTTATTAAATTGTGTAGCTTTACTTTCCTTGAGCATGAGTTTCAATATTAGAAACTTCTTATTAATTTTTTTGTAATGAAACCAACAATTCCTCAAATGCGCCCCAGGCACTTTAACTCGCAAGCCTAAAGAAACCTGTAGAGAGAAGACAATGAGAAGAAATTACAGTTTTAGAGGTGGGAGGATAACCCCAGAAGAGTATTCTGGGGGAAATCCCACGGAATCAGGCAGGGACTGAAAACCCAATCCACATGTGGACCAGGGCAGGAATCGAACCCGGGCCGTAGCGGTGGAAGGCGAGGAAAGTAACCACTGCGCCAACTGCACTTCTTAAAATGTTTGTATTCTGTATCCTTTAGGAGGATGAGGAATCCATTGATTTTGCTAACCGAGTCAAGGCAGCCATCGCTAAGCAAGGCGGACTTCTTGATCTTACCTGGTAGGTATTTAACTTTTTACCTGGTCAGGATTTTAACTTCCTACCTTGTCAGTATTTTAACTTTTAACCTGGTCAGTATTTAAAATTTTTACCTGGTCAGTATTTTAACTTTTTACCCGGTCAGTATTTAACTTTTTGGGTCAGTATTTAACTTTTTACCTGGTCAGTATTTTCACTTTTTACCAGGTCGGTATTTTAACTTTTTACCTGGTCAGTATTTTAACTTTTTACCTGGTCAGAATTTGAACTTTTTACCCGGTCAGTATTTAACTTTTTGGGTCAGTATTTAACTTTTTACCTGGTCAGTATTTTAACTTTTTACCAGGTCGGTATTTTAACTTTTTACCTGGTCAGTATTTGAACTTTTTACCTGGTCAGTATTTTAACGTTTTACCGGGTCAGCATTTGAACTTTTTACCTGGTCAGTATTTTAACTTTTTACCCGGTCACTATTTTAACTTTTTACCTGGTCACTATTTTAACTTTTTACCTGGTCACTGTTTTAACTTTTTACCTGGTCAGTGTTTTAACTTTTTACCTGGTCAGTATTTTAACTTTTTACCTGGTCAGAATTTTAACTTTTCACCCTGGTCAGTATTTTAACTTTTTACCCTGTCAGTATTTTAATTTGTTATTTTCAGTATTTTAACTTTTTACCCGGTCAGTATTTTAACTTTTTACCTGGTCACTATTTAACAATTGTTGAATGTTGTGATGTGGGATATGATGTTTTTAACACCTGAGGGTGTTAAAAACCACCCAAGCTTGCTCGGATCGGGTCGCAAGCTTGGTGGTCAAGTGGGAAGACCTCTGCACTAGTAAGCAGGAGATCAAGGGTTCGAGTCCCGCTTAAGTAATTGTTTTTCACAATCACTCGTGACAACACTGAGCATACAGTGTTTATAAAAACACGTCGGTGAAGGGCAAAACCCAATATTGGATGTTAGTTTTCCTTCATCATCATCCAAAAAAAGTAAATAAATTAATAATTAAATTTATCCTACCTGTACATTTCTGTATCAGTGAATTATTCAACCAAGCGTTTGAAGCATTGTACTTCAAGTATGAAACCATTTTGTATTTATTTTTTAGGGATGGCCAATTGAAGAGGACTCGCGTGAAAAGCATCTACAAAGCTAAAGAGCAGGAAGAATATAGCAAGATGATCAAGACAGACTGAACTCCTAAAAAAAAAGGGGGAAATGACGAAGAATCAGTAGTTGGAGAAAATGGCTACATTCTGATATTTGCTTGTCCTCAAGAGCAGACTTTTAATCAAGTAAATCACTAGTCAAGTCACAGCTGATTAACAAAGATAAGAATGGTCTTTGTCTCAGTTAATTTGAATAGCTCAACAATGATGACTTGTGAGAACTTGACGTGAACTGCGCTTACAAGCGTATCAATGTGAGCAACACTCCACGTCAGATTGTATATTGTATAAATTGGTGTGATAAAAAAATTGCATTGAAAATATTTTTTTAATTATGTTCACAGTGAATTTTTTGTTAATTATTTTGAGTTTTTAGAAAACTATATTGCCAGAAACAAATGCTGCCTGATAATTTTAACAGTTGAGTTTGAAGTGAATGCATGTGTACAAACCAAAAGAAAGGGAAATAATTGAAATGAAATAATTTCTTTAGTTTTTGTTGGAATTGCTTAAGTATCTGTTCTTCAATTAGGTAGCATCTTAATTAACCCTCTTTTTGTTTGACCAGTCACAGACAGTCAAAAATTCAATCCTGTTTCCCTACCATGCCTTTTACACAGGCTAGTCACCAACAGTCGGATCATATTTCCGTAGGCACCGTGACTAGTCAAATTCCATCAACAGACAAAAGCAGGTGACTGGTAGGCACAGCTGGCTTATCAATCTCCTACAGTCACAGCATATCAGGTTCCATAACAATCACAGCCAGCCAATCCTGCTTTATGAAGGCAGAGAGCACTCAACTGTTAAAAAAGAGCATTTGATTTATTTGACTGCTGGGTTGGCCTTGTTGAAATTGCCAGCCAGAGAGGAAGGGTATAGAAGGATTGGAAAGAATGTTGCAACCTGACGCTGCTTTTTCCTTCATATTTCATCTCAATGAAGGCCCGTAATTGTAAAAATGATGATAAGACATGAATCTGGGACTGAGAAACATTTCCAATTTTGTTAGGAAATACTTTTAAAAAAATTGTGACTCTCCATAGACTTTGTATACAATCTTTGAAGCAGCGTCAGGTTGCAACATTCTTTCTGAAGAAATATCCACACACACACAAAACACAGTAAATAGACAATAGGCTATGAACTGCTATGAGTTTTTTAAATCTTCTGTACTGTATATAAAGAAGTATCAAACGGCTAGAAATAATAATGTCATGAAAGAACATGCATCAAGAATGTTGGCATATTGAGGTATACAGGCTAATCTTTTAGTTTTCTCGGGAATTTCATTAGATGTTTTTAATTCCTTTTGTTCTACAGGGTGAGTCACAAAGAAAGTTACCCAATTTGAAGAGTATTTTTTAAATATTTGGCTTGCTTCATTTCACACAAGAAAAACATAGGGATAAAGTACATGAAAAGTTCACGTAATTTGCATACTCTATTCCCAAGTTATGTCTATTTTAATAAACAGATCACAAAACTTGGCTGTCCACCACTGATCATTTACCATTCTGTGAACCGATGAATGCCTATTGACTACAATGAAACTTGGTTGTGTAATCTGTAATACTCACCCAGCTCAATAGCTTCTAATGGCATTCCATGGACAGCTAGAAAAAAATGGTTCTTTTAGTAAAATGCTCATAACTCCTGAAAGCCTGGATCAATTTCAGCATTTTTTTTTTAAATGAGTGGAAGAAGATGCTATGTTCAGGTATACCCCATTGGTGTTTAAAATTTGATTGCTTTGTTAAAATTAAAAATCATTAATTTGGGTAACTTTCTTTTTAACTCGCCCTGTAAAGATACTTAGAAAGATCCAGTGTGTCTTGGTACTTATTGTTTTTTTGTGTAGATGTTTAACAAATGATCTAGTTGATTTACCTCGTTAGGTTTACAGAGTCATTATTGAAACCGACACTTCTCTTCCAACACGAAGTGGCGCTATCATTCTGCATAAAGTTGTGCAAAATTTAACAAAGATTTCAAGAACTATATCGTAACAACTTATGACCAGAACTTTTAAATCAGCAACACATTTTAACACTTAAAAAAATAGAGCCAAGTTCCTAATCCATGGCATACTACCCTTTTTTCGCTTCATTTGTTTTCAAATAATTATACTAATGTATATAGATCCACAAAAAAATTGCATTGCAGGGCAATTTAATTTAACAAATGAAATAATGTATTTAAACAGTAATAATTGTTGAACTGTTATTTAGCATGCTGAATATATTTTGTGAAAAGTTGTTTAAAGTTGATTATACCATAGTTTGTTGTTTACTAACTGAATCATTTGCAATTTATCCTGGACTATATAACTTTGTTGAACAAAGAGAGTTGCATGTGGAGATTTTTCTTTTATCTTTTGTTTTAATCGATTCATGTGAGTGCGAAATGATTTTGTACAAGCATTGTAAGATGCAAGGAAAACAGTTAGGTTGCCTTTTATTAGTATTGCAAGGAACAAGTGCCAGTTCATAACGCATTCCACGGTAAATTGTTGTTTGTAATTATTGCGATTGCTACAGAACCAGAAAAGATGAATTGATAAAACAACAAAAGTTTCGTCTCTTGCATCATTTTTTTTCCCATTTCATTTTGACAGCAGTGTAATTTTGTCAAGCCAATTTATGTACCTGGGGATAAACATAACAATGGGTAGATTGTGCCAAAAGAAATACGCATTTATGAAATAAAAATTACCCCCCCCCCCCAACTTTTGAAGGAAACCACTCCCATCGAAAATGCCCACAACTTTTGTGACCCTCTTTTTTTGCCAAACTTATTCATATATAGCGCCCTCTACTGATGATAGAAATTAATGTCATTCGCAAATGATTTCTCTTTCGGGCATTGCTCGGGACCATGGCTGGACAAACGGGACTCTAAATTCCTCATTTACTATCTCCATTCCCCCCCCCCCCCTCTCAAAAAAGATAGAGTTTAGTTTCTTTATAAATACAGAAGAGTTAAATACGTATTTGCAGCTTGATTCTGTGATTGTTTGGTTCCGTTTAGAAGACAAAATGTGACGCAACGTTCTTCTTACATTTCCATCCACCCGAAAACAGTCGCTTTTGATCCGCCAAGACCGCCAGTTGTCTGTTTTATTTCCAGAAAACATTGTTTTAATCACGTTTCACAATGAATAAAGGCCTACGAGGCTGCGGCCTCTAACTTCTAAGACGTCATATAAGAACAAGGTCCAACAGAATCGATTTTTTTTGTGAGATGTGTGTTTAAAAAGCATGCTTTTAATGACTTATTGCTCTTCACAGCTCCAAGGACAAACACAATGAGTGAAAGACACGTCTGTCAAATTGCCAAATGACCTTTCATTGTATTTTAATCAATTTTATCGATTACGTGACTCATCTCCGTGGTTTCAAAGAAGAGTCGTCTGCTCGCTGCCGATATCATGTTTACCTCTGTCAAGGTCACGTGTGGTCTCACGTTCGGGTCATTTCAAACGTTATTAGGGGAAGGTTGTTTCACATGCGTGCCAAATGATTACAATAAAACTTATGCACAACTCGATTTTTTTCTCATTTTTTTTTTTTTCATAAACGAATAAATCGATTAAACATTAAAAATTCAATATTTCAATTGTTTTTTTTCTTGAAATGGCATACGACAATGGTTACACACCCCTTTTGGAGAAATGAATCATTCCAATCCGAGAATATCCGGAAATTATCGAGAACAATCGATTAAGGCGTTTATATCTATCTTCGGCTCGGCCCGATCTTTGCAGTACAGAATCCCGCGACGGAGGTGTTCGTATCGTATGCAAGACTTTTTCTACACCGTGATTGAGAAGCGTAATTAAATTTCACCATCTGCAGCTTTTAGAACACATACCAAGATGGCTTCGTCCAGCGCCCCGAATGTGCAGCAACCGCATGCACCCGAACCCGTGGTGAGTAGTGCAGTTGTTAGGTTTTACAAACAGTTTTGTTCGCTTAGTGTTGGAGATTCGTTTACCATATTTACGCACTGTGTGCGTCGTGCATGATTATTATTATTAAACGTCTGATCTTGTTCAGTGTCAATTCAATCAGTTACATCTCACTCACCTCCTTAGTGATAAATGTGCATGTCTTTAATTGAAATGTCACTGTCAATAGATATATCTTGAGGTTGAAGGCCGTTCTTTACCTATTTCTCAACGTTATGCAAGTTGTTTTAAAGGGAATGATTTTATTTTGCTGTAGAAATCGCGACGTGGATACCATTTCTTCAATAACCAAAAAAAAACATTTTGGAAAAACTCTTCCCCTAAACAAATAATGTTACATTTTAATAATTTCATGCAACTTGAATACCCTAACTACACAATTCCAAAGATTATGATCGGAAAGTCTCGCACATGTAAATATTACAAGTCCAAATAGGCCTACAACTAAAATTAGGAACATAAACTTGGGAAAGCCCAAATTACAAAAAGATGCTACGGTCATTAAAATTCCAATTTTAAGATTGACTAAGGATTATTTCTTGTCAGTCCTGTCTTTTGTGTACAAAAACCTGTTATGCTTGGAATAAAATAGTTACACTTTTCATATTTAATCAAGCTATCAAATCAAGTTTGTGGTGGACAGTGTTTATAACCATGATAACCTGTTTTTCTGTTCAATTTTTTTCAAGCTCTGCACACAATGGCCAAAATTTAAACTTGTTTTTTTTCCTCCAATTAATAATATCCTGAAGAGTTGTCTCTAATTTACTGTGGCATGCATACCAATGCCCATTTCATGCCTTCTTTATTAACTATTATTATATCATCAAAAAGGCAAACTTTCAAGAAGAGACATCTCTTGCCTTGCACGCAGGTCACAAAAAAAAAATGTGTTAAGAGGATATAATTATATTTTTAATGAAATCAAACAAAACTGAAAGTGTATAATTACTAAAGTGACTCGGATTACATTTTCTTTCCATTTCACTCTTTGTCACGCATCATTTGCTGGCACTTGATGCCTACCTAAGTATCTACACAGTCCTTTTATTTTCTGTCAACCTTAACCTGGCCATGGAGCTGTGTTTATAGCTCCATGACCTGGCTGAGGTCATGCTTGAGTAAATTGAATTGTACCTCACAGCTAGTTAATCCTATTACACGAAGTGGTCCTGCTGCTGTGCATACAGTTACATTTGGGTTTATTGATCAGTTTAGTGTGATAGGCATGAGAGTTGTCAATGCATTGTGTGTGTCTAGACAGGCAACAATAACATGAACAAACTTATACATGTAGGCCTACATGAGACTTAATTCTCTTGTGTTTTACCATGGTTTT